ATAAAACCATATACGGCACCGGCCCAGCGTACCTGTCCGAACGTATCTCCTTCTGTGTCCCACCACGGAGTTTAAGATCTTCTGGGGAGGCCCTGCTCTTGGCCCCACCTTTATCACAAGTGAGACTGGTGGGGACGAGGTACAGGGCCTTCTCAGTGGTGGCCCCTCGCCTGTGGAATTCACTCCCTGGGGAAATCAGGTCGTCAACATCCCTCCTCTCCTTTAGAAGGAAGCCAGATTAATCACCGGAGCGTCATACAGGGAGCACACCACTCCTCTGCTACGTCAGCGCCACTGGCTGCCGATCCAGTTCCGAGCACAATTCAAAGTGCTGATTTTGACCTATAAAACCCTATACGGCACCGGCCCAGCGTACCTGTCTGAACATATCTCCTTCTATGTCCCACCACAGAGTTTAAGATCTTCTGGGGAGGCCCTGCTCTCGGCCCCACCTTTATCACAAGTGAGACTGGTGGGGACGAGGGACAGGGCCTTCTCAGTGGTGGCCCCTCGCCTGTGGAATTCACTCCCTGGGGAAATCAGGTTGTCAACATCCCTCCTCTCCTTTAGAAGGAAGCTGAAGACATGGATATTGGACCAGGCATTTGGGTAATCTGGCAGATTAAAAAGGTAATGATGACTAGAGTTGGAAAGGACTATGGTAATGTTAATGGATTGACGCATTTTAGAACTCGATGAACGTGGGCTACAGAGTGGTTTTTTAGTTGATATTGTATTAATTGTATGTTTTTAACTATCGTGTTATTGTTATTGCATTTTATTGTAATTGTTGGCATCAAATTGTGCCGGATGTAAGCCGCCCTGAGTCCCCCCTAGAGGGTGAGAAGGGCGGGGTAGAAATGTCCGAAATAAATAAATAAATTTGACATGTACTTCAAACTCTAAAGGCAATATGAACTTCTCTGCTGAAGAAAGTAGGCCTTTGGGAATGGCTACTACTACCCACATTTCCCCAACAATACTTTCTCCTCCTCTTGCATGTTGGAGCACGCAAGGTATCAGTGTGTGTTCCAACTGTAAAATAAGATGCATGAAGCTGATTGGTCGGGCAATGCTCAGGGAGATGGCTAAGCCTGGGACTGTTGGATACTGTTATATTTTTGTTCAGGCTTGAGCTATGCAGGTGCAGAAGAGAGAAGCGGAAAGAGAGAGTTTGAAGTGTGCTCTTACTTGACGAGCTGCTGGAAGATTTATCCACATGGACAAAGAAAGACCATTTTAGATTTCTCATAAAAGGACTCTGAGTTGATGCAACTGATCACATTGTACATATGTTGTTCTGAACTACGAAGAGGAAACTACTTGTCCTTTATTGTTCATCTGCATGGCAGATTTTCTTTCTCTGGCAAGGCAGTGTGTGGGCTGATCAAACATGAACTATACATGGTTTATTTTACATTACTCCACACTGTATTCTATATTCTGAGAAAACTTGATATTTTCTGTATGAAAGGGACAGTGAATAACTACTCGCTAAAGCCAAATCTGAACACAGTTTCTTAGAAAGAGAAGTGAAAAGACTTCAATAATACACAGTTCATCGATTATACTGTTTGGCTTGGCAATCTAAATCCACTGACATTAGCATTTGAGCCACAACACCTATTACCTAGAAAGATAACTTCACCCTTGAGTGAGGCACAGGTCAACCATTAGGTAATGGTACCTTGCATCTATTTCAATCCATATGTACACCAGTGAATGGAAAACAGAACAGCATTGCTCCTAAGAAAGGAGAAAATTGTTGAATGACATATTGCCTTAAGGGGCTACCATAGCCGTTGTGCGAGATCATCTGGAGTTTTGGAGTTCGGTGCCATCTGTACACAGATGACGTCCAACTCTACTACTCCTTTTCACCCACTACTAAGGAGGCTGTTCTGGTCCAGAACTGGTGCCTGGCTGCTGTGCTGAGGTGGATGAGGGCAAACAAATTGAAGTTGAACGCAGACAAGACAGAGGGTCTCCTGGTCAGTTGCAAGGCTGAATAGGGCCTAGGATTACAGCCTGTGCTGGATGGGGTTACACTCCCCCTGAAGGCGCAGGTTCGCAGTTTGAGAGTCCTCCTGGACTTATTGCTGAGCCTGGAACCCCAGGTGTTGGCTTTGACTAGAGGGGGCGTTTACACAACGAAGAATTGTGTGCCAACTGCACCCATACCTTGGGAAGTCAGACTTGGCCATGGTAGTTCACTCTCTTGTTACATCCCATTAGACTACTGCAACGCACTCTACGTGGGGTTGCCTTTGAAGACTGTTCAAAACTTCAATTAGTCCAACGGGCGGCGGCCAAATTACTCACCGGAGCGTCATACAGGGAACATACCAACCCTCTGTTATGTCAGTTCCACTGGCTGCCAATCCAGTTCCGAGCACAATTCAAAGTGCTGGTTTTGACCTACAAAACCCTATACGGCTCCGGCCCAGCGTACTTGTCCAAACGCATCTCCTTCTACGTCCCGCCTCAGAGTTTAAGATCTTCTGAGGAGGCCCTGCTCTCGGCCCCACCTCTAGCACAAGTGAGATTGGTGGGGACGAGGAACAGGGCCTTCTCGGTGGTGGGCCCTCGCCTGTGGAATTAGCTTCCTGGGGAAATTAGGTCATCGACATCTCTGATCTCTTTTGGAAGGAAATTAAAAACATGGATATGGGACCAGGCCTTTGGGTAATCTGGCAGAGAGACCATTTTATGAACCATCAAGATTGCTAAGATCGTCTGGAGGGGCCCTGCTCTCGATCCCACCGGCCTCACAGGTGACCCCTCGATTCTGGAACTCCCTTCCACTGGAGATCAGAACTGCCCCTTCTATCTTAACGTTCAGGAAACAGGTGAAAACTTGGCTTTAGGGATTGGCATTCGATGAATGAGCCATGATCCTGTGATATGGATGGATGACGACGAATAATGATTTTTGATGACTGACCACTGTAATTATATATTATTGTATTTTGCTATTTTAATGTTTTAGTGTGATTTAGAATATGATGTTTTAATGACTGTCTGTAATATTGATGTTGGAAACCGGCCTGAGTCCCTCGAATGGAGGTGAGAAGACCGGTATACAAAACTGCCAAATAAATAAATAAATAAATAAATAAATTTAGGGCAATGACTAGAATTGGATAGGATTTGACAATGCGGAATGAACTTACGGATTCTGAACTTGGCGAACGTTGATCATTAGATTGGTTTTTATTAATTGTGATGTATAACTGGATTGTTTTAATTGTTTTACAACTGTTGTTGATATATGTTTTATCTATTATCTGTTTTGCTAGCATCGAATTGTGCCTTTTGTAAGCCGCCCTGAGTCCCCCCTCGGGGGTTGAGAAGGGTGGGGTAGAAATGCGCAAAATAAATAAATAAATAAATAACACACTCTACATGGGATTGCCTTCAAAGACTATTTGGAAGCTGCAAATAGTCCAATGCGCTGCAGCCATGTTGTTAAGTGGGGTGTCGCACAGGGAGCATGCAACCCCCATTGCGGCAACTCCACTGGCTGCCTATTAGCTACTGATCACGATTCAGAGTGCTGGCTTTAGCCTATAAAGCCTTAAATGGCTCCAGCCAAACTTACCTGTTCGAACATATCTCGCTCTATGAACCAGTTCTTAGATTAAGATCTTCCGGAGAGGTCCTGCTCTCGGCCCCACCGGCCTCACAGGTGCGGCTGGTGGGGATGAGGGACAGGGCCTTTCTTCTAGGTGGTGGCCCCATAGCTGTGGAACTCCCTCCCAAGTGAGACCAGGTCGGCCCCCTCCCTCCTGACCTTTAGGAGACAGCTCAAGGCCTGGCTGTGGGACCAAGAGTTCGGTCCATCATAGCAATATTTGGCCACAGTGGTCCACGCTCTGGTTACATCCCAAATAGATTACTGCAACGCACTCTACATGGGGTTGCCTTTGAAGACTGTTCGGAGACTTCAACTAGTTCAACGGGCGGCAGCCAGATTACTCACCGGAGCGCCATACAAGGAGCATACCACCCCCCTGCAGCGTCAGCTCCACTGGCTGCCGGTCCACATCCGAGCACAATTCAAAGTGCTGGTCTTGGCCTATAAAACCCTATATGGCTCTGGTCCAGCTCACTTATCTGAGCGTATCTCTCTCTACATTCCACCTCGTAATTTAAGATCTACTGGGGAGGCCCTGCTCTCGGTCTCACCAGCGTCTCAAACGCGTCTGGTGGGGACAAAGGACAGGGCCTTCTCGGTGGTGACCCTCCGCTTGTGGAATTCGCTCCCCAGCGAGATTAGATCGGCGTCCTCCCTCCTTACTTTTAGGGAAAACTAAAGACATGGTTTTGGAGCCAGGCCTTTGGCTAGTGGGCACAGCAGCACTTTAGGCACTGAACTTGACAATAGGATAGTTATGAAAATTGGAAACGGCTATATGACTTGTGATTATGTGATTATGTGATTAATTTTAATTAATATCACTGTTTAATTGTTATGTAATAGGATTTTATATTGTTGGTTTATATCGTTGTTATTGATACTGTTGGCATTGAATTGTTGCCTGTGTTAGCCGCCCCAAGTCCCCCCTCAGGGGTGAGAAAGGCGGGGGTAGAAATGGTGTAAATAAATAAATAAATAAATATTTAAAGTGAAAGTGCAATAACCTAGGACTGTTTATGGACAACAGCTATGTCTTTGTGTGATGGGTGATGTTATGTGATGTATTTAATAATGTTTAATGTTTTATCAGGGGAGGGTCAATTTTGATGTTTTATATATTGAATTGTTGCCAACACTGTGAACCGCCCTGAGTCCCCTTTGAGGTTGAGACGGGCGGGATACAAATACCACAAATAAATAAATAAATAAACAAACAAATAAATAAATAAACAAACTCCATTGCAATCAGAATTTTGACAGATTCAAAACGAAGAACATATCACTTCCTGAAAATGGCTGGTATATTAGATAAGAGGACTTTTGCTCACTTCCGCTACAAAGGATGCTAACAAAGCAGAGCTAACACAACTCAATTTATTTCAAAATTGTTAGAAATTTACAGATGTGTCTGTAAATGCCACTATTTTTAAATTTTGTCCTTATTTTTCAAAAAACACAAAAAAGCACCCCACTGCTTCCACCCCAGGCCTCAATTTACTATTTAAAAAAATAAAGCCTTTTATACAACTGTCCCAAGTTTCATAACGCAGCTGCAGATGACAAAGTTGGAAGCTGCTTTGTGCCAGTCTTCCTGCAGTTTCTGAGTGTGTGTGTGGAATTAGGCTAGTCTCTGTCACCTTTGAAATGACACTGCTGCAGTGGAATAGATTAAATCAGTGACCCAGAGTGCTGTAATAACTGAGCACACATCCTAATCAAGAAAGATTTAGCCAAAATCTTACAAAACAACACAGAAGCTGCTGCCCGACTTTTGCTCACAATCTAATCGAGGAAGCCGGGCAAATAGATATATTCCATAAAGGAACAAAAATAATCTTCAATCACATCATGTTGTGGAAAGGCTGTGTTAGGGCATCACTTTCTAGATGCAAGTCTCTAATTTTACCATATGAGAGAAGCCATGGTCTTCTCAGACTGCACCACAACACTGGGCACTTAGGACTGGGCAGTGTCAATATTCATCTGTGCCAAGACTATACAGAGCATATTATAGACAACTAGCCTTGGTTGTTGTACTAGTCTCCTCCAACTGTAGGATTATAGACATGGTTTTTGAAAGCAGTCACAGAATGTACCCAAAATGAAGAAAAAAATAGACCCCTCTTGAGTTGCAAAAATTCTCCCCAATTCTCACTGCAGTGTTAGATCAAGGAAGTTGGACTGGAGAATTTGGAACCCTGAAACAAACAGGAATCCTATTCCATTTCAGAGCCCTGCCTGTCACTGGGAGTTGGCAAAGTGCAGTTTGCAGCTACATGTGGACCCCTGAAAACCTCCATCTGTCCCTCACCTCCCTTTTTTTTTTAAAGAGCAGCATGATTTTCAGGTAACATTGCTCTAAAATCACACAGGAAAGTCTCTGGATTTATGAAAACACCCCCAAAATACCTCAATCCTCATCAGGATCACAGAATCCCAAATTATTTCAAATGCCAGTTTTTCTGCAGCCACTTTCAAAATGTGACAGTCGACACTCCTGGCCACTCCTTGGAGGTCTGCAGAGAAACTACTTCTGTTTTCATCTGCAGCATCTCCCGAAATGGCAACAGGAAGCGAAGGTGCATCTGCTGCCATTCTGAGACTGAGGTACTGTATTTGGCCTTGGTGTGTGGAAGGGGGATGCGGCCAGCTGTAGGATCAAGGGAGAAATTAGCCACTTGTCCCCAAAGTAATTGCTCATTTCTGCTGTGAACTGAAGTCACCCCTATGGAAGACTACCTATAAGGCACCTACACTTACTAAACATGAGGCAAAGCCATTTTAAAGAGCTTACCATTCAGTAAGTTATCTGGTGCAAAATGCACTGAAATGTTTTTTCTGACTTTCTCCTGTTCTGTTCCATGCTCCTTAACTTGGCTGATCACAGCAGAAGACATGGGGGAAGCAACTAACACCTGAGTTATGCTTACATTCAAAAATTAAAATTTAGATAGATAAAAAAAATCTCTTAAGAGAACAAAAATTAAAACCAGAGGAAAAGATAACATCCTGTATTGTTGAAAAGCAAAAACTGGAGGTAGGAGGAAAGGCAAGGGAAAGAGGTGAAGCCAGCAAACCTGGTTAGGGAAGAAAAGCAGGGGACATGTTCTGCTGATTTCTGAAATAGGTCACAGGGCAAATAATCTGCAGGAAGTTGAAGGGGCTTTTCAAAGCAATGTTTCGAGAGGATAAAATCAGTCACTTCATTGGTTGACAAAAGAGGTACAAATGCGGCCATGTCCTCCACCACCAATAGAGATGAGAGCAAGGATGGAAGCCTTTTCAGATTTAAACATATTCCTGCATCCCAGAGAGTATTTTTTTTATATCAGCTAATTTTCTCCTCCACAGAAACACTGGAAGGTTTTCCACACGGGAAGCCACCAGAAGCCAGTCTTCCAAGACCCTGTTCCAAGAGACTCAGGAAGGCAGTGCCCTCGGGTGGCTATTAGCAATAATGCAAGTACAGTTTGTCAACTCTGCTTGTCCTTGACCAGTAAGACAGTGTGCTGCCCTCCACTGGACACAGAGAGGACACTGCGATTCTCCAGCTGTTGCCCAGACATCTGAACAGGGCTCCAAGCATCATCTTCGTCGCCTGTGCCAAGCTGGAGGTTAGAGCCCATGCCCCAGGCAAAAGCTCGACCTGCAAAAGGAGGAGAGGAATAACATCCTATTTAAAGTCCTACAATAATGGCCCTGGCTGGCCACAAAAGCATGCATAAATTAAATTACGTGGAAATTTATCTTTCTGAAAAATGGCACAGTTTCAAGTTTATGGATGACATGACTTTTCATAGAATCATAGAATCAAAGAGTTGGAAGAGACCTCATGGGCCATCCAGTCCAACCCCTGCCAAGAAGCAGGAATATTGCATTCAAATCACCCCTGACAGATGGCCATCCAGCCTCTGTTTAAAAGCTTCCAAAGAAGGAGCCTCCACCACACTCCGGGGCAGACAGTTCCACTGCTGAACAGTCTGTTTAAAAGCTTCACAGTCAGGAAGTTCTTCCTCATGTTCAGATGGAATTTGCCTGATTTGGGTGCAAGCCTCCATCACCTACAATTCTACACAGGAGGGACTATTACTGATTTTAGTGTTGCATAATTATCATCTTTCAGAAATATAAAAAAATAACTAGGTATTTTTAATTATAAAAATGTGAGTCAAGCACTAAAAGGGTTAAATGGATGCAATGACTCAGCAAAAGCTGGAGTTCTATATAAGCAGGTGTGCCTGTAGCTTAGTAGCCATCAATCTGAGGTAAACCTCAGTGGGAGAAAGGTCTCAGTCTGTGAGGTAGGCCTTAGTCTATGAGAAGGCCGAATGTGAGAAGCTTCGGTGAGAGAAGCCCCAGGTTGAAGGCCATTGTGTGTGAAGGCTGCTGTGTGCAAAAAGCTACTGTGTAACTTCAGTGTAAGAAGAGGTTCTTGTGAGAGTGAAGCTGTTTATCTGCATGAGAAAGAAGCCCAGTGTAGAAGCAAATAAGGAAGTATAAAGAACTTTCTTCATGTTATGGAAACCTTGTTTTTGTAAATAGTGCAACCACGCTGCTGCTGATGCTACTTACGCTGCTGTACATTTATGGGGAGGGTCTTTTTTCTTATTTATTCCCAATCTGTACTTGAGGGCTTCAAACAACACAGGCGAGCTCACCAAAATGATGTTATAATATATTTGCAATAAAATCCCAAGAAGGAATTCTGGGTTGATTATTTGAGGCAGCATAATCTTACTGTGTTTCAGAGAAGCCATGTATGTGTTCTGTTTGTTTGTTTTTTCTTAAACACTGCAATTTCAGTAAGTCCCTTTGGCTACAATGAAGTTTACTTTGAGGCTAGTGGACACAAAAATTTGAGCGTCTATCAGCTAGTATGGATGTTTTATCATTTTGTTTAAATTCCCAGATTAAGGGAATTTAAACAAATTTATAAAACTGCTACAAATCAGTGAGTGCTGTTTCTTCAAGGCCAGGCATAAAGTGAAATACTAAATAATTTTTTAAAAGTAGAGTTTTGTTATGAATATGAACATCATGTCTATAAAGATTTCATACGAAAGCGGCAACATATGTTATAGCACTAGAAAATGGTCTCAACTGACAGGAGCAAAGGACAAAGTAATGGCAATCCTTTTGAACTGCATTGTACATCAGTCTATCCAGCTTAGCACATAGTCCAATTCTGATGCTATAAAAATCTAGATTTAAGATTTTAATATTCCATTCCACAGCAATCAACCTCTATAAATCCAAAGTTATTTTTTAATATCTGTCATTTTCTTTCTACCACTGCACAAACATCTTTGGTACGTATTCGAGCAGGCATTTGAGGATATAACCCACTGGTATTTTCCATCTCCAATATCAAGGAATTCCTTTTGCCCCTTTTTAAAAATAGCAATGACTCCAACTCTACCACAATATAAACTTCTCAGGGGTGCCTGGCTAAAAGACGTTCTCCAATCCCCTAAACTTTGATGGTGATATATATCTAGCAAAATGGGTTTGCAGACGTTTCCAGGATATAAGCAGGTGGCATTAGGAGAGAGTGTGTGTGTCAGAAGTATTAAAAATTAACTGGGTATTGCCTCAGTGAGGGGACTCAGTTTGTGCGAGGAGGCTTCCCTGTGAGGTAGGCCTCACAACGTGAGGTAGGCCTTAGTCTATGAGAAGGCAGAGTATGAGAGAAGCCTCACGTGAAAGAAGCCCCAGGTTTAAAGGTCTTATGTGTAAAACTGTGTGTAATGCTACTATGTGAAGCTCCTGTGTAATTTTGGTGTAAGATGCTCTGTGAGAGCGAAGCTGTTTGTCTGCATGAGGAAGAAGCCCAGCATGGAAGTAAAGAAGGAAGTATAAAGGACTTTATTTGTGTTGTGGAAATCTTGTTCATGTAAATAGTTCGACCATATTATTTTGCTATAAAGAAAAGCCTCCTAAGGAAGATACAACATTGTTTTTGTTCTTTTTATCACTTTGGGCTATTGGTGCTGGGTCACACTGCTGCTAATAAGTTACTCTGCTGCGTGTTTATGAGGAGGGTCTTTTGTTAATAACCCCACTCACCCAATTTGGGGGGGGGGGGTCCTGTTTATTTACGCTATTGTATCATTTTAGATACTTTGATTTCAGGTGTGCATTTTCATGTAGGATTTTTCAGAACCTGGAACTACATCTCTCATACTTTTAGGAGATTCTGGGAGTTACACCCTAAAAAGTAACTTTGTGATCTCTCCCAAACAAACCACGATTATTCCCAAGAGGCATTCAATTGAGAAATAAGATTCAACAGAGAAATAACACTTCTTTTCCAAGCGGCATTTCACACAGCTGTTGAAGATTCAACAGAGGAATAACTCAACACTTCTTCAGACTCACCGTCTTCTGTGACTGCAAAGCCAACCCTTTCTCCACAAGCGACTGAAGAGGACTTGGGTATCCCAGGAATGGCCGTGGGGTTGGTCTTCTCTGAACAGCCCTGGCCAAGGCCTAACATGCCATAGTCTGCCCTGCCCAGACTATACACAGTTCCTGTTTGAAGGGAGGAAGCAGCACAAAGAAAGAAAACCAGTCAGGAGGGTTGTTCATCAGCATTTTTTAAAAATACAATAAACATAATCAGAACATCAAGTGATACAGCAGAGGCCAGACTAGTGTAGAACAGACCCTGCAAAAGCAACGTTTCTGAACTGCTGCACCCAGGATGCTCCAACAAACCCAGCCACTGACTGCGCTTGCTAGGCAGTGGTCCATAGCTATTAATGGTAGTCCATCAATAATGCACATATACAAAGGGAGACAGAGAAAAGGCCAGCCATTCCACCAACACCTAAACTAGTAAGAAGACACCCCATTTTTGCTCCCCACACTGGGGCTTTTTTAACAGCCACATTTACAATCTCCTCATCCAGCCCACCAAATGCAAAAAAAACACCTTCTGAGTCCAGGCACACAGTGTGATGTTGACCAGCTGAGAACTTGACCCAAGATCTGTTGGAGTTCTTGAATGCAGTCAGAATCTTTGGCGAGTAGTAAGTTTCGATCCCTTGTGAACCTAAAGATGACAGGAAAACCCCAAATTATATCTTCATGACAATAAAAATTAAATTAGCACAACCTTGTATAAAGAATCCTAGAGTTGGAAGAGACTATGAGGGCCATCCAGTCTAACCCCTGCCATGCAGGAAAAGCACCCCTGACAGATGGCCATCCGGCTTCTGCTTAAAAGCTCCTGTGTTCATGACATTCTTTCTAATTTTCTTGTGCAATCTCCATTCCTGTCATTGGAACCCATGGCTCCATGGATCCTAGTCTCCAGAAAAGAAGCTTCCCCCATCTTCCATACAACATCCTTTCAAATATTTACATATGGCTATCATATATTCCTTGCCTGTGGAACTCTCTCCCCAGTGACATCAAATTGGCTACCTCCCTCCAGTCCTTTAGAAAGAAACTCAAAACATGGTTATAGGACCAAGCATTTGAACAATAGCAGCAGTGATAGGGAATAAGACTCAATGTCCTGGCGTTGGCCTTTAAAGCCCTAAACGGTTCCGGCCCAAGCTATCTATCCGACCGCATCTCTGCCTATGAACCCACCAGGACTTTGAGATCTTCCGGGGAGGCCCTGCTCTCGATCCCGCCTGCTTCTCAAGCACGGCTGGCGGGGACGAGAGATAGGGCCTTCTCAGTGGTGGCTCCTCGGCTGTGGAACGCCCTTCCTACGGACATTAGACTAGCACCATCTCTAATGGTATTCCACAGGAAAGTGAAGACCTGGCTGTTTGAGCAGGCGTTCGAATAATTAGTGCAATGATTGGTTAATGAACATTGGAACGGAATAATGGATGACGAATCTGGATCATGTTTTTGATGATGAGACGATAGTGAATATTGAATGGTTATTGTAGTAATTGTTTATTAATTATGTAATATGTTAGGTTGTTAACTGTTTTTACACTGTAGCATTGAATTTTTGCTGTTCTTATTTGTTGTGAACCGCTGTGAGTCGCCTTCGGGCTGAGAACAGCGATATATAAGTAAAGTAAATAATAAATAAATAAATAAATAAATGTGATATGTATGACAATGGACTGTCCCAGACACTGATTTTAAACCGGAGTGATTTTAATTAAATGCTTCTTAATGTAATGTATTTTATGAACTGTTTTAAAATGTGTTTTATGATTGTGGTTAGCATTCGAGTGGGTGCTTGTTGTGAAGCCGCCCTGAGTGCCCCCCCCCCCGGGGTGTGTGTGTGTGTGTGTGTGTGTGTGTGTGTGTGTGTGTATGTGGGTACAAATGTACGAAATAAATAAATAGATAAAAAACATTGCCAACAAGGAATACCATTCTGGCAAATCCATGGAATTTCACCACAACAAGTGGAAAGAATGGAGTAATAGAAGAGCCCACCATGTTTCCAGTTAGGAAGTGGAATTCCATCCCACTGATTTGGGGGTGGATGTCACTTTTCCTCTTGCCCTTCATCATGCAAAGAAGGAGAAACCAACGTTTCCCTGACCTTCACACAGATTCATGACGACAACACCCTTATCTTGCTCAATCAGAAATTGAAAAGTTGCTTTTAAACTTACCATCCCAATCCCCACAGTAGTTAAACACTATTATTCTTCCAATTTTTCAGAGTAACTGCTTTTTCTTTAAAAAGTTACTTTTGGGGAAAGACTGGTTTGCTGACAGCTGTTGGTTTGTGGTACAAAACACATACACAATAGCATATCCTTTTAACGATGTCAACAACTAAATCTCAAGAGCCTCAAAAGGTTACTTTTTGGACTATAATTTGCATCCAGCAACACCCTGGCCAAGACTATGCTAGCTGGAGAATGGGAACTGTAGTCTAAAAAGCATGCTTAAGAACTGATGAAAACACAGCAAAAATTATCCAGTTACTTACTTAGATCCTCGTTATTGTAAAAATAAATGTATTCTCAGTAATATGTAATTATTTAATTCTAAACTGTGCCTGGATCCCTCAAAACAAAGACAGCTACTCACCCAGCTGATAGTAATTGGAGAGGCCAAATCCAATAACATGCCCCTCTTGAGTGATGGCAAGGGTGGAGTAAGACCCACAGAATACGTCCCGGATGCGCCCCTTGGTCTTACAGCCTCTCTGCTTGATAGCGACGATTTGTGGGAGCAGCAGCAGCTCTGCCAAGAAGGAAGAGGTTTAGGGGGAACTGAGTCAACAAGGCAGGCAGGCAGGCAAGTGTTCTGTTTGAAACAAACCTCCAAATGATTTGTAGCCTGAATACATTCCAATCAAGTTACCTTGTGCTTCTGATAAGCCTTAGACCAGCTGAGTTTTTGTTAAAACAACCAAAAAGAAAAAAACAAGTCAGAGCAAAGAGAAAGGAAGCCTGGACATTTATCCTTTATTTATAAGTAGGATCTGAACAAAATATTTCAATGTAAAGCGCTCCCTGTAGTCTATTCATAAGATCATAGAGCTGGAAAAGGCCACACAAGCTATCGAGCCAAACACCAAAGCACTCAATGTAGAGAATCCCGCTAGAGCATCCCGAGAAGGTTAGCTTGTCCTATCTCTTTTTGAGAACACCCGGAAAAGCAACTCCCACCACCTAACCTGCTCTTACTGTCAAGACGTTCCTTTACATCTTCTATCAAAATGTACCGTATATACTCGAGTATAAGCAGTTTTTCTGCCCTTTTTTAAGGCTGAAAAAAACTCCTTGGCTTATGCTTGAGTCAAGGTTATTTATTATTTTACTCTGCTATTATTATTTTTATTACATATATTATTTTTCTCTATTTCTTATTACATTTATTATTTTACTCTATTTATTATTGCTATTATTACATTATTTTTTCTCTATTATTGTTATTACATTTATTATTTTACTCAATTATTACTGTTATTATATTTCTATTATTTTAATCTATTATTATTACTAATTATTTTTATTGCCTCAATTAAAGTAATTTTAATTGGTATCTATTTTTATTTTGAAATTTACCAGTAGAGGCTGCATTTCTCACCCTCAGCTTATACTCGAGTCAATACGTTTTTCCATTTTTTTGTGGTAAGATTAGGTGCCTCGGCTTATATTCAGGTCAGCTTATACTCGAGGATATACAATAGCCTGCTACAACTAAAACTACTGGCTCTACCCTCTGGGTCAACAGAGAACAAACCCACACATTCCTGTCTGTGGCACCACTTAAGACAAGCCTCTTCAACCTGTGGCCCTCCAGGTTGAAGGGGGCCTCCAACTCTCAGAAGCCTTAGCCAGCTTGTTCAATAGTCAGGAATTCTGGGAGCTGAAGTCCAAAAGACCTGGAGGGCCACACGCTGAAGAGGTCTGCCTTAAAGAGGGAAATTGTGTCACTTCATTCTCCCCTCCTCCTCTGCAACCTTTTGTCGCATTCAACAGTTTGTTACTATTAAGCATACCATTTTGGATAGCTTCCCTTCTTAAATCACCCTCTCAATTTTCTTATTTATCTTGTTTGAGAACAAATTAAGAGAAAGTGCACATTTGAGCTAAAGATGGCTGGAGACAAATTCGTTCATATCTAATATGGTCCTTTTAGTAGTCTTAGGTAAGGAAGAGCTAATAAATGTGTCGTACTGGGAGCCAATAAAGGAAAAACCATATAAAAACAATCCCCCTTTCCCTTCCTGTGTCATGAACACCACTGCGAGTCGAGATGCAGGGCCAACCTTATGAAATCGGTCCACAAAGTGGAATCCACTACTTGTAAGTGTGGAGAAGAGCAAACCAGACTACCTATTACAATGCAGTCTGAGCCCTTCCACATGCACAATGGAGGACCTTATTGCAACACCAGAGGCACTCCAAGTGGACAGCTTCAGGTCAAAGGACATTTAGTCTAATGCCAAGTTTTTAAACTTTGTTTGTGTTTTTAAATACAGCGTGCGGCAGCATAACTTCCTTTTTTAAAATGCGTGCCATTCAGTCGGTTGAAGACGTAGTGGAGCGCTAGCAGTCTCGCTCGAGAGGCGGGAGTACAAAGCTTTATCCTGACACAGTTTAGTCACCATCATGCATTGGAACAGTGAGGAGCGTGCTTTTGCCATTGAGGCCTACTTTTCGAGTGGATGTTCTATGATCACAACCCAGCGTGCCTTTCGGAATCGCTTTAATTTAGCTCCATTGGGCCCTGTCCTGGACCAGAAATCAATTGTGACGTGGGTCACTACATTCAGACAAACTGCAAGTGCGACAAGATGAAGAACTGGAGTCCCTCGGCCCATTAGATCACTTGAGAACATTGAGGCAGTGAGAGCTTCAATGTTGCGATCACCACAGCGTTCTGCGCGCAAACATGCATCTGCCCTTGGACTTTCCGATCGTTCTGTGAGGAGAATTCTTCATGATGATCTTCATTTCCATCCTTACAAGATGGCGATTGTGCAGGAACTTTCTGAACGTGACTTCAGTTCTTGGAGGATCACGTGTGAGGTTCTTCTTGAAGTCGTTCCTGAGCACACTATTGTTTTTTTTAGTGATGAAGTCCATTTTCATTTGTGTGGATCCGTCAACAAAAAAAACATGCGCTACGGGCTGACAACAATACTCAAGAATTGCATCAAAGGCCTTTACATTCACCTAAAATCACAGTGTGGTGTGCAATTTCCTCAGCTGGAATTATTGGTTCCTGGTTCTTTGAGGAAAATGAAGTCGAAGTGACAGTGAATTCGGACCGGTATGTAAACATGTTACAGGAATTTTCTTTCCCACGGCTAGATGGGTTGGACTTAGGGGACATTTGGTTCCAACAAGACAGTGCAACGGCACACACTTCAAGAGCATCGATGGCTGTTTTGAGGGAACACTTCCCAGAGCGCCTCATCTCAATTAGGGGGGATTTGGAGTGGCCGTCCCGTTCTCCAGATTTGGCCCCTTGTGATTTTTTTCTATGGGGTTTCTTGAAATCCCGTGTTTTTGTGAACCGTCCAAGGACCCTACAAGATTTGAAGACCAACATCCAGGAAGAAATTGCCAACATAACGCCTGCTATGCTGGCAAGAGTCATGACAAACGCCAGAAATCAGTTTACTCAGTGTATGGAGAATGGGGGACGTCACCTACCTAATTTGATCTTCAAAACTACGTAAAACAAAACTTTAGGTATGCGCTTACATTATTAAAAAATTCTGATTCATACAATGGGTTTTATTAAGTTTTGAAAAAAGGAAGTTATGCTGCTACACCCGGTACATTACAACTGTAGACATTTAATGAGTATCTCTTTGGTTAATTTGCATGGATGAGCATGCAAAGGTGTGCCGATATAAATGGGTTCTCTCCACCATTTGGCTCTTCTTGACAATAGGGACAGCTACCCAAGCCAAGCAGTCTCCAGTGCTGATTTGTTTAGCACTACATCTGAATTAAGATTCCTGGAAAGTTGGAATTGTAGGCTGGCATTTGGAGCTTAGAGTTCTGGATTGTTAAGAAACCAAGACTCAATTCAGTCATAAAACAAACCACCAGTATTTGCTGTGCTGGCATCCCATCATTCCCAAAAAGTCAATATTCCACACCATTCTGCCTTAGCCTGAAATGAGAGCCAGCCTCATGTTCTCACTACACCTCTTCCAGTTCTATATCCCAAGAGTTTGCAGATCTATATTTCATCCATCTCAAAAGATCTACTGTTATCCCACTGATGACATTTTCTGATTCCTTCCCTGTGATTGCCCCAGAAGCAACAGAATTTATCTAGTGACAAGCAACTCACTCAATCCTCTTCGTCCCCCTCTGGTGGTGAAAACTTGAGGCACTCGGCCCAGTTGGCCATTGTCTCCGCAACCACAGGTGTAAAGGTTGCCTGCCGTAGACACCACTGCCAAGTGATGGCTTCCTGAGAAAAGGAAACAGAAAAAAAACCATCAAGAAAGCTTATCTATGACATTTTTTTGGTTTGTGAGAGATCTTATTCACCACATAAAAAAACCTAAAGAACTTCAGCTTGTGGCAAATGGACAGCTGATAGAGGAAACTTAACAATATAGTTATAGAGAAAATTCAACGATAACCACTTAAGAACTGTCTATCACTACAGTAATCTCGCTTATCCAACCTTTGTTCATTCAATGTTTTGTATTATCCAACACAGTCTGCCTCCCACCCAGATCCACAGCTGCTTCAATGCACTGCAATGTTTTGGTACTAAATTATTAAAATACAGTAATTACTACATCACTTTAATGTATATTGAACTGTTTTTTTCTTTCAATTTGTTGTAAAATATGTTTTGCTGCTTAATATGTAAAATCATAACGTAATTTGACGTTCCTTAATCCCTCCTTATTATCTGACATTTTCACTTATCCAACGTTCTGCCATTTATGTTGAATAGCGAGACTCTACTGTACTTTAGTCCCTCCATATTAAGTACACATTCCCGGGAAGCTGCTGGAATTGATATTAATAAAAGCAATTTCATATTCATTAAAAATCATTAAATATGGACAATGCAGCACATCATTAAAATTCCCAAAGGCCTGCCAAAACAAAACGTGCCTCTGCTTAAATTCTAGAGGCTAAGAGCAGCCACCAAGAAGGGTTCTCAAGTTTCCACCAGATATACTTGGTGCTGGGTCCAAGAAAACTAAGCTTTCACAAGCTGCCACTTATGGAAAGAAAATAATGGCAAGCTACACATGAAAATGGTGCTAGGCATCACGTGTTGCCACTCACCTGAGGCAATTTTAACTATAGGTACATCCAGCTGCAGCTCCACAGGAAGAGGGCTACCCTTTGTGGTATCCAAATTTTCTTCCCCTTTCTGGGGAGCCAGTAAGCCAATGACTCCATTTTCATCCTAAGAAGATCCAGACACAAAGGAGTAAAAATGGTTTGGTAACCAAGAAGTCTAAAGCAATTCATTTAAAGCAAGCATAGGGAACCTGTGGTCCTGTAGATGCTATAACTCTCATCATCCTTCTCCACTGGCCAGGCTGCCTGGGGTCGATGGGAGATGGAACCCAGCAAGATACAGAAAGCTGCAAACTACCCCATCCTGCTCCAAAGCAGTGTGGAGAACTTACCCGGAAAGCGCCCCAGATGAAAACACGCCCATCCTCCGTCAAGGCCGCTGTGTGGCTGTCTCCAGCAGACACCTGCACCACCTTCTCCTTCAGGTCAACAAGCCCGGGAATGGATTCAGACCCTTCCTCTGAAGTGTCCCTCCCCAAGGCACCCTCATCATTGCAGCCAAAGGTATAGATCTGAGGAAAGAAAAGGCCACACAATGAAAGGGGAATCCAAGAGGAAACACAGCTACCTTGACCCAGACCAAAATGGTATTTGAGAAAATCTTGATCAGAAAGGACAATGGCTCTTACATTTCAAATAGAGCTTCAGACCAGGGGCCTGAACCTCAAAAGTGAAATAATACAGCCAGCACTATGATCCCTGAGACCGGCACTGGGCACCTGTTTGCCCTCTAGATCTTATTTGGATTGCAGCCTTGAGTCCCATACTGAGAGGTAGGAAAAACATTCACTGGGATCTTGTCATCTTCTGGAGTTTGGTTCCAACACTCCCTGGATGCTGAAATTCCATTATATACAATGACTTAGGGAGGTTCCTACACATAAACTATAATGAAGTTTGAAGATGGCTTGAGGGCAGTGTGTCCACAAAATAATACACCCCCAGTGCATGCTGCCGGATGCATCAAGCTAGAAATAGCATATTAAAAAACATTTGTCATTCACTAAAAAGTCCAGAACAAAATATGTGCTGCAGTCAATCAAAGTAAATCCCAGGCTCTAAACTGGGATATACTCTGATCATCTGCAGTGCATCTTAACAGATTGGTTAATGGGCGGGGCACAACATTTTCCAGTGGCTCTCTAGCCATGGATATTGCGGTTCCAGGGTCCAGTTCAAATCCATAATCAGCAGATACTGTGGAGACCATCCCAGCCTCAAATTTGATTCCTGGGTGTTTGTGTAGGAACTGCACAGCAAAACAAGTTTGTTTTAACTCACTTCCTAACTGGATTATAGTGGCTGTGTAGAACTGCCCTTGGTGTACAATGGTGTCCCTGGTCTAGATGGATTTCAGCTTCAATCATGAAGCTCTATTGCCCAGCTTTCTACTATTAAGGACAGTTGCAGTCCAACAGTTAGCCTAGAACTGTAGGAACTACGCATATATACAATCAAATTCGTACCCATACCCCCAGCACTCCCCCCCCCCCCCAAAGATCAGAAAGGTAAAATGGTTCACTTGATTACATATAGGGCACCCAACATCCAGGTCTGGTATTCTCCCCTCCAAACTCACCCCTCCTTCGGGTCTGCCAAAGATACCCACTTGCCATAAAGTATTTGTCATAGGGATAGGAACTCTTCCAGACTCACCTTTCCTGTCTCGGTGAGGCACACTGTGTGGACCCCTCCTGCTTCTACCTGGATGATCTTCTCGGAGAGTTGCACCAGGGCAGGCCTCTTCCGTGCCATCACATTTGGGCCAAGGCCCAGCTGCCCAAGATCACCCTGCCCCAAGGTCAGCAGCAGGCCAGGCTCCGTTTGGTGTGTTGGGTGACTGACTGGATAAAACAGGAGGATAAACTCAGAGGACAGTGGATACTAATCTTCAGTATAATTAGGAACACTGGGACTTGCCTTTTTGTCAGAATAGTGGCTTGCCTAAACTGAGTATTGTCATTAAATGGGTTGGCAATAGCTCTTCCAAAGACGTCTCTATCAGACCTTCATGCTAGGGATTAACATGGCACCTTTTGCATAACGAAGTGTGTGCTCTTATCACTGAACTATAGTGAACATTCCTATAACTCTGCAAAACACTGGTGTAAATCATTGCTGTCTATCAAGCTACTACATTTTCCCATGTTACTCATCATTGTCTGTGTGGAGGAACAGGGGCACACCTACACAGACATTGAAATCAGGCCCAATCCAATGTGTTAGACACCAGATCAGGGAGAGAAACTCCCACAGCAGCCATGTAGGAGAGAAGGAGGGAGTCCTCACTGTCCAGCAACACTGAACACAGTTTGGTGCTCATGGGCAGCCACTCTAAACATCCCCTTCCTTAACCCCATGTGTCATGGAGACCAGAATTCAGGATTTTCCAACTGACTTTTTGTAATGCAGAGAAAGGCTGCATTAATCTGGCCTTGCCCTGTACTACTACAGATCAGCCCCATGTAGGGCTGATGCTAATCTACAATGACCTAAATAGACAGTGTAGATGGGGCTGAGGTTTAATAGGGGATCTTTAACTGCTAGAAATTTAGCAAAATGTCATTCAGTGAGTTACAATCAGCCCTAGTTTTTATCAGGAGGGATCAAATCTGTTTTTGATTATTTAAAAAAACCTGTGCCGTATGATTGTTAGAATTTTATATCTAAACGAGCACTCTAAGAGTCTGATAGTTGCTACCACCCCCCCCCCCCGATAATTTGCACTAATGCAGTGTTTCTCAACTTGGGGGTTGAGACCCCTGGGGGGGTCACAAGGGGATGTCAGAGGGGTCACCAAATATCATCAGAAAAATGCAAAGTTAGGTCCCAACTGATGGCCAGAGTGGGGCCTGAGGCTACTCATTTCCAAGGCCTATTGGGCAACTATAAAAGGTCTAGGTTAGGGCTAATACCACAAGGTGGCAGAGGACTAGGGAAGTGAGTAAAGTTCAGAGCAGTGTTCTAACTGATGGCCAGGGTAGGGCCAGGGGCTAATCATTTTCAAAGGCCTGTTGGAACCACCAAGTCTTCAGATCCCTGTGGAAGGAAGATAGTGACTAATTTTGTCATTTGGGAGTTGTAGTTGCTGGGATTTATAGTTCACCTATAGTTCGTGTTTTGAAGGGACTCGCTAGCGTAAGCCTCCCTCCAACCTCACACATTCTCCCTCACTTGCACAGGAGCACCATGAGGGATGATTGACCTTGATAATATGGGAGTTGTAGCTCACCCACATCCAAAAAGCACTGAGCCCAGCTGAAGATGGGGCAGGACCAAACTTGGCACACAGACTCAACACGGCCAACTGTGAATACTGGTGGGATTTGGGGAGGATTGACTCACGATTTTGGGAGTTGTAGTTTACCCACATCCTTATGCATTACTCAAAACCACAAATAATCAAATCTGCAAAATGTGCAAGACTGATTGCAGTTCTCTTCTGAATGTGGTTTACAATCTCATTCTTAACATGTGTGTAATGTATGTATACTTGAAATTTTCAAGGATATGATAAAATTGATGTATTGTGATTATTATGTTTATTTATACACCATTTTCCTCTCTTAAACGGGCCTCAAAGCGCCTAGTCCATACGTTGGAAAAATTACTTTTTGGAACTACAAATTCACTGGGGAATTGTAGTCCAAACACCAGCTTTTTCAGGCTCTGATATAGTCCAGAAAAGTTTGTGCTACAATTACTTTGTTGCTTTGCTTTGGCTGTGGGGGTTTTACTCAGTCTAAATCAGGCATGGGCAAACTTTGGCCCTCCAGGTGTTTTGGACTTCAACTCCCATAATGCCTCAAGCCCTGCTTAAGTGGCTGAGAGGAAAAAGGAAAGGGCCTGAGGCTGTTAGGAGTGGGAGTTGAAGTCCAAAACACCTGGAGGGCCCAAGTTTGCCCATGCCTAGTCTAAATGCATTTACGCCTGATCTCTCAAGCACATGATATGGTGGCTTAAACAAAGGTGAATTCTACATATGCTGAAGCCATACACAGGCAAGTGTAAGAAAGAAAACAGCATATCAAGACTAAAACCCATACAAGAGTTAAGAAAGGCACACAAAAGCAGTTGAAACTGAAGGTTGGCATGATAGACAAATCAAACTGTCTCACCTTTAGTCCGCTTCACGCTGACAACATCATCTTTTTCCAGCACCCGTTTCCTCGGCATGTTTAGTTAAATCTGGAAGAGGCAAGGAGAGGGAAATGGGGAAAAAATACCAAAAAGATGTTCCCAGTTAAAACACTGGACAGATGGAAACTTGAAACAAGTGTTCAGCCATGTCCAGAAACTCTTGGGCTGTAGCTTCCACCTGGTCAACATAGCTAAGATTTTGTGGTGGAAAGAGCTATAGTCTAACTACATGTCCAACACAGCTTGGAAAAATTAGTCTTTTGGATTACAATTTCCTAATTCCCCCAGCCAGCATGAAAAATGAGGATGTTGACTACAGGATTATGGAAGCTGTAGTCCAAAACAAATCACATTTCCAAGCTATGGTACTCCATCATTCCTCACCATTGGGTATGCTGGCTAAAGCTGACAGAAGCCAGAGTCCAGTAATATCTGGGGAGCACATGTGCCTCATTCCTGGGGGCACTTCAAAAAATCAAAGTGCTCCCTTGTACATTTTCAGTTGACAGTTTGACAGGGTGCCTGACAAAAAGAGAAAGCCCTTATCATACACACAAAGCCCCAGAGCCACCTGTCCAGTCCTCTCAACAATTTGGCAATGCCCAGAAAAACACTCCAGACAATCTGAGCGCCCAAATGTTTTTCTAAAGCAAGAAGTATGAGTAAATGCTTCAACACATCATACACTACTGCATTCAAATGCTTAAACTAACTTTTCTCCCAGATCTAATGAATGAGAATTATGAAAGGATAATTGGATTAGGGTAACAAAGATCAACTCTGACAGAGCAAAAATTTTACTTGATCAACTTTGCAGAATGCCCAAAATCAACATCTGTCATATTTGGAGCCATATCAAAGTGGCACATACGAGTGAACTGGTTGGTACCAGTGAAAGATTTATGCAGAAGTTAAGTTGGCTTTAGTTTAGGGCCATAAATTAAAAGGGGCCTCTAAATATAGAAATTTACCAAACTTCATATTTTGAACAATTGTTAGAATATACATAGGGCAATGATACAAGAATTCTTAAAACTGAGGTATCTTAGAGCCACACCATTAATCTGGTTTAATCTGAGTCTCCCCCAGTTTCCCTCAATATAAATTATGAATACAAAGGTTTTAAAAATTATTTTGTACTAGCATGATTAATTATACAAAATAAAGAATTCAGTTAAAATAGTTTTAATACAGATGTGAAGAGTTTTCTTAAAATATTCACTTCTAGGTTGGAAGACATTGTCACTTTAGCTTCTCAGCCTTCAGTGGCACATGTAACTCATTTTCAAAAATGTATTATTTCTCATCTTAGAAATCAAGATTGTTTTTTCATATGTGGTAAGAAATAAAGAGAGGAAGAACAAGATAGAACAGATTAAAGTCAAGGCTATAGCTTCATTTTGTCCCTTCTAACTTCAAAAAGAGATTTATTTCCTGCTATATCCTGGAAAGTACTTAAAATTCTAGGAAGGTAAGTTTGGCAAACATGGGGAATTTCTATAGGGGATGCAATAACCCCTCAGTCACTCACAATCTGATAATCCCCTGCATTGGGAATTATAGAGTAGGTAGCACACAAAACCAGGCCAGAAATGTGAGAGCACACAATGGACAGTTTGAAAACACTTGTGACAAATTATCAACAAATGAATTGGGTATATATCACACACATATATATACACACACACACACACACACACACACCAATAGTTTTCTTGGCAATGTCTGCAGACAATGGGAGAATCTATGTCAATGCTACACTTGTTTGGGACTCCATCTGTTGTCCAGCCACTGAAGGCACAAGACTCTTGCCAGGAAACAAACACACACATACTCTAACTTAAAAATATATAGAATGTGCAAGATGGCATTCTTGCACATTCTTATAATGGCAAAGAGGCAAAGGCCCCTTCTATACTGCCATATAAATTCCAAATTATTTGCTTTGAACTGGATTATATGGCAGTGTAGACTAAGATAATTCAGTTCAAATAATGTGGTTATTTGATAACCTGGATTATTTGACAGTGTAGAAGGAGCCTTAGTCAGAAAGCTTCCTCTCCTCCTGATTCAAATTTTTCAAAATAAAAGGCCGAAACTTCCCTTTCCTCATTCTCCCTCAATCTGCATACCCACAAAACAAGGGAAGAAATCCTGGTGCGTTGTGCATCCTTGTTGTTAAGCTTAATGAAACAATGCAACTAAAATTAATTGAACATTCAAGTGCACTATAAATTTGTGAACTTATTTACTTGTAATAGTACGATTAACAAACTCCGGGTCTGTGACTGTATAGTAAAATTAATTCATATGATTAACTGATGGTATATTGCAGTGAATAAACTATATTAGTTTTTCAAATTGTCCTCCTCCAGAGGTTGTGGACTTCAGCTCCCACAATTCCTAACGGCTGGTAAACTGGCTGGGATTTCTAGGAGTTGAAGTCCAAAACACCTGGAGGAGCACAGTTTGAGAAACACTGAACTAGATTATTGAAACTCTTCTGGTTATTGTTCAAATTCCATTCTAGTATATAGGGAAGGGATCAGGAAGCTATGCAACTCCAGAAGTCTAAATAAATGCTTTCCAAGCTATCTGATATATGGTACCATCGTGTTTTCTCAGTGTGCCAGGGATAGGGACCGCTATAGGCAATTCACAAGTTACAAACATCCAACTTACAAAATGACTCATAATTAACCAATAGAAATCAATGTTAACCAATTCTACATTTTCATAGAATCCTAGAGTTGGAGGGAACCCCCAAGGGCCATCTAATCCAACTTCCTTCTTGCAGGCAGAAAAGCACCATCAAAACTCTCCAGACAGATGGCCATCCAGCCTCTAAACGAATTAATACGCTTCCCCTATTGAGTTAGAAGAGACACCCAAGGGATTTCTTTGAGGGATTTCTTCCCAGCACTTACTAGAAGAGCCCTCGTAGAATCTAGTTCAAAGCAGATACTGTGGATAGTCTGCCTTGCTGTTCTGGGTTATATGGCTGTGTGGAAGGGCCCCCATAGAACCCACTTGCTACAGTGGTAAAACACATTGACCACTGTGGGCCCATCAGATTTTGGAATGTTTCACTTATCACTGATTTTTGGGAATTTTCAAATTTTTTATAAACAATACTTAAAAAAACACAACTACAAGAGCAATCTCCTTGAATTTTCTATGCAATGACACAAGATAACAGGGGATCACCCCCCCCCCAACTTTCATAAACATTCATACATCGACCTGGAATATTGTGTCCAATTCTGGACACCACAATTGAAGAGAGATATTGACAAGCTGAAAAGTGGCCAGAGGAGGGCAACTAAAATGATCAAGGGTATGGAGAACAAGCCCTATGAGGAGTGGCTTAAAGAGCTCAGCATGTTTAGCCTGAAGAAGAGAAGGCTGAGAGGATACATGATAGCCATATATAAATATATAAGAGGAAGTCATAGGGAGGAGGGAGCAAACTTGTTTTCTGCTGCCCTGCAAGAAAGGAGATGCTATCTGAACATTAGGACTTCCTGACTGTGAGAGCCGTTCAAGCAGTGGAACTCTCTGCCCAGGAGTGTGGTGGAGGCTCCTTCTTTGGAAGCTTTTAAACAGAGGCTGGGTGGCCATCTGTCAGGGGTGCTTTGAATGCAATTTTCTGCTTCTTGGCAGAATGGGGTTGGACTGGATGGCCCATGAGGTCTCTTCCAACTCTATGATTCTAATTTTAGGGAAATTTGTTAAGTTTTGACAAAACATTTTTAAAAGCCACACCAGCTATCTCCTTGAATGTTTCTCTCTCTTATTAACCAATAGACCTTCCATTTAGGGATTTCTTCCCAGCCCAGCAGAGAGACTGACTTGCCAGAAATCTCAGTCAGTCCTCCTCTTTGCAGATTCAACCATTCATTAGAACTCTGGCTGGCTGCTGCGACAGAGGGAAGTTGTTTCCAGAGGACTTTTCTCAAGTACTTTGTGGTCTAGCTCACCTCATTCAGCAGGATTCTGAGAATCTTGGGAGAGTGTTTTACCCAGGGGAAGGGGTGAATCATAAGAGTTGGAAGAGACCGCAAGGGCCACCCAGTCTATATGCTTTAATGTGGGCCTGGCACCATTTTATACATATTCTAGTAGGGGTTTTTTATATAAAAGGTTTTTAAAAATTAACACATCTTAGGTGAATGGCATACAAGGCCAAACCACTCAGTATGGGCTATCCTTTCACTGCTCAGAATGTGGGAAGTCCTAAACAGACATTCCTAAACTCCTACATTGTTAATTATTGTTTTAATGTATGTTTATTTTACTTTGTGTGTTTGCATGGCATTGAATCGCTGCCTATATATATCAGTCGTTTTGAGTCCCCTACAGGGTTGAGAAAGGTGGGATTTAATTTGGTAAAGGTAGGGTTTTTCCCTGACATTAAGTCCAGTCGTGTCCATCTCTGGGGGTTGGTGCTCTTCTTCATTTCTAAGCCGAAGAGCCGGTGTTGTCTGTAGACATCTCCAAAGTCATGTGGCCAGCATGACTGCATGGAGCTCTGTGACCTTTCCACCGGAGAGGTATCTATTGATCTCCTCACATTTGCATGTTTTCGAATTGCTAAGTTGGCTGAAGCTGACAGTGGGAGCTCACACCACTCCCCAGATTCGAACCTGCGACCTTTCGGTCAACAAGTATAAATATGGTAAATAAAATAAATAAATCTCTTTCCTTATCCTGATTGGGGCTTTCTGTTGCTGATGCATTCTGGGAAATGCAGTACACAAACACCAGTATCACCTTCTGTTCATGTCCCAGCATTATTTCCAATTTTAACTTAGCATTTGGCCTTCCCACTGTTTTTAATTATGTGTTGTTTTATTGATAATGTTGTTTATCTTATTGTCTGTGTTTTTAATTGCTTGTATTGTTGTTATTATTGCTTGTATTGTTGTGTTTGGACTCGGCCTCATGTAAGCCGCACGGAGTCCCTTGGGGAGATGGTAGCGGGGTACAAATAAAGTTATTATTATTATTATTATTATTACTATTATTATTATTATATTTTAAAAACAACTACAACAGTGATCTCCTTGAATTATCTATCGGAAGTGATAGAAAAGACAACTGGGGCTCAACCCCCCCCCCCCCAAACTTTCAGAAATATTCATATATCTACCAATTTCAGGGAATTTTTAAACGTTTTGACAAAAACATTTTTAAGACAAAACTTTTTATCTCATAGAATGTTTTTCATATTAACCAACAGAAACCAATATTAACCAATACTACATTTTCATAGAATCCTAGAGTTGGGGGGGGGGGGTCCCAAGGGCCATCTAGTCCAATCCCCTCCTTCCAGTCAGATGGGCACCATCAAAACTCTCCTGCCAGATGGCCATCCAGCCTCTAAACTAATTAAAATGCTTCCCTTATTGAGGTGGACGGGACCCCCAAGGGCCATCCACTGAGAGATTTCTTCCCAGCCCAGCACTGATTTACTTACTAAAAGTCTCAGTCCATCCTCTTCGCATTCTTTGCAGAGGAGGGTGACTAAAATGATCAAGGGTCTGGAGAACAAGCCCTATGAGGAGCGGCTTAAGGAGCTGGGCATGTTTGGGCTGAAGAGAAGGCTGAGAGGAGATATGATAGCCATGTATAAATATGTGAGAGGAAGCCACAGGGAGGAGGGAGCAAGCTTGTTTTCTGCTTTCTTGGAGACTAGGATGCGGAACAATGGCTTCAAACTACAAGAGAGGAGATTCCATCTGAACATGAGGAAGAACTTCCTGACTGTGAGAGCCGTTCAGCAGTGGAACTCTCTGCTCCGGAGTGTGGTGGAGGCTCCTTCTTTGGAAGCTTTTAAACAGAGGCTGGATGGCCATCTGTCAGGGGTGATTTGAATTTGATTTGATTTGAACTTATGCTGGAAATGTGGAAAAGAAAAAGGCAAATTTATCCATATGTGGTAGAACTGCGGAAAAATTAAAAATTACTGGACTCAAATACATAAAACAATAGAAAAAATGCTTAAGATAAAATTTGATCTAAAGCCAGAAACATTATTACTAGGAATACTAGACATTAAACTGGAAAAGAATGAAGATAAGATCTTTTCCCATTTAATAGCGGCTGCAAGGATGACTTTGGCGAAACTGTGGAAATCCAAGGAAGTTCCAACAATTGAACAATGGACAATAAAAGTAATGGGCATAATAAATATGGACGTACTTACACAAAGAATTTCGCAAAACCACACAAAGCCTCAGACAACGGACTGGAAATCAGTGTTGGAATATATAAGAGGGGAAAACAAGAAGACTTATATAATGGATTTATAAAAGGAATTCAGGAACTGTTTGAAATAAGAATATGATAACGGAATCAAGCAAGGGTTCAAGGATGTGTACTGGATTATACGCTGAAATATAGATAAACTATGAGAAGATTTTACTATGTATAGATTATCAAAAGAGTACACAAATGTAGAACAGTAATCTAACCCAACCACCCTGAGAATACCTCAAAGTACCCGTCCTACCCTTCCCCATACCCCCTTTCCTGTTTCCCCTCACTTTCTAATCCCCTTCCCCCTTCCATAACCCTCCCTTCCCAGCCTTCCCTCCCCCCCCCCACTATGCCTTCCCTGTGTTTTTAACTGCAATTTTTGTAAAGCAAAAATCAATAAAAATATTTATTTAAAAAAACTACAAGAGAGGAGATTCCATCTGAACATGAGGAAGAACTTCCTGACTGTGAGAGCTGTTCAGCAGTGGAACTCTCTGCCCCGGAGTGTGGTGGAGGCTCCTTCTTTGGAAGCTTTTAAACAGAGGCTGGATGGCCATATGTCAGGTATGATTTGAATGTATATGGGATATATTGAGTATGGTGATCAGATCATAATATGAATAAACATAACAGTTTAAATAATGCACCATTAAGGCCTTTTTGCGAACCACCATGAAAATTTCGGGGGGGGGGGGAGGCTGAAGCCCCCAGCCCCCCCCCCCCCCCTCCAGCACAGCTCTATGGTAGTTAATGCATGTAGCCATGTATAAATATGTGAGAGGAAGCCACAGGGAGGAGGGAGCAAGCTTGTTTTCTGCTTCCCTGGAGACTAGGATGCAGAACAATGGCTTCAAACTACAAGAAAGGAGATTCCATCTGAACATGAGGAAAAACTTCCTGGCTGTGAGAGCCATTCAGCAGTGGAACTCTCTGCCCCGGAGTGTGGTGGAGGCTCCTTCTTTGGAAGCTTTTAAACAGAGGCTGGATGGCCATCTGTCAGGGTGATTTGAATGCAATATTCCTGCTTCTTGGCAGGGGGTCGGACTGGATGGCCCATGAGGTCTCTTCCAACTCTATGATTCTATGATTCAGCCATTCATGGGAACTCTGGCTGCTGCGACGGAGGGACACACACATATCTCCCTTTCTCCTGATTGGGGCTTCTTGATGCTCTGCAGAATTCTGGGAAATGTAGTTCAGCCTTTTGCATTCTCTAGCAGAGGGATCCTCTCCCGCCCAAACTACATTTCCCAGAATCCTGTGTTTTCTGAGTCCTTTTCTCCCTGCTGCTTCCCTCTCCTCGTGGCGAGAGGCCATTTAAAGAGGAAACCCTACCTTTACCTATTTAAACCCCGCCTTTTTGGCTTTGCTTTGCTTCCTTGCGCTGAACATCAAACTGACTTCGGAAGGTTTCCAAGGTTGACAAAATGCAAACGAAAAGTATTGAGTAAGTTCATAACTACTTCCAACTGAAGGCCTAGTTCCAAGCTAAGGTCCTTGGTAGCTTTCGGCAAAGACGACCTTAGCTTGCTTGGAACTAGGCCTTTCCCCCAATTCTGACACGATTTGAATCTCCCGCGCTTTGAAGGACAACCTCCTCCGACCAAACGAGGCCTGGCGAAGTTAAAACTCGGCCTCACACTCGAGCAGCCTCAACGGCCAGCCGGCGGGCCTCCCTCTCACCTCGTCCGCTTCCAACTCTCCAACTCACCTCCTCGTCCTCCTTCTTCCCCTTCTCCCAAACCTTCCGTCTCCCCTCACGCTTTTCCCACTTCTCCTCGACTGACTGCCGCGCATGCACCCGCCACGGATGCCGATTGGCAGAACAAAAAACCAGGACGTTGCTCTCCAACGCCACCTACTGGCCAACGTCTCTTTCTATTTGAGAGAAGCGTCCGTTGGCTTCTTACGCTCGGCCAGCAAACGGGAATGGCTTCTGTGACGCAACCGGAAGGCGCCCTTGAAGTCTTTCTCTTCGATGGGCAGAGAGCGAGGCATGCTGGGACCGTTCCACTTCCTGAAAGAGTAGCTGGAAGGCGTATACTGTAGTAGCTCACCAGGCAACTTCACATACAAACATTCTCCTACAATTTAAAATATGCAAATATTATTATGTTGTTTAATGTATTGTCGAAGGCTTTCATGGCCGGAATCACTGAGTTGTTGTAGGTTTTTTCGGGCTATATGGCCATGGTCTAGAGCAGGGGTCCTCAAACTTTTTAAACAGAGGGCCAGGTCACAGTCCCTCAAACTGTTGGAGGACCGGATTATAATTTGAAAAAAAACATGAATGAATTCCTAGGAACTGCACATGTCTTATTTGTAGTGCAAAAAACACTAAAAAAAACAATACAATAAGAAGAACAATTTTAACAAATATAAACTTACTAGCCGTCCCCTGCCATGCGTTGCTGTGGCCCAGTCTGTTGATCTGGAAAATAAAGTCATGAGAAAGTGTTGGTTTCTAATATATGTAATTTCTCTATCCTTGTGGGTAAACAGTATTTCTTGTTTCTTTGTCAGTGTTGATGTAAAGATTGTCTGGTTTGCCTACTCTGGAACATGCAACATATAATTGTCCTTCTTTAGGGGTCCTTTTCAAATCTATGATACTATATATGTCATAAACGTGTGTGTGTGAGAGAATCATATATATCTATAACTATGGCTGGATGGCTCTCTGTCAGGAGAACTTTATGTTTTCTTGCCCTGGTGAAGGGAGTTGGACTGGATGGCCTTATGGCAGTATTTCTCAACCTTGGATTTAGGACCCCTGGGGGGGGGTGCGAGGGGGTGTCAGAAAGATCACCAAAGACCACCAGAAAATACAGTATTTTCTGTTGGTAATGGGGATTCTGTGTGAGAAGTTTGCTTCAATTCTGTCGTTAGTGGGGTTCAGAATGCTCCTTGATTGTAGGTGAACTATACATCCTAGTAACTACAACTCCCAAATGTCAAGGTCTATTTTCCCCAAAGTCCATCTGTGATTATATTTGGGCATATTGAGTATTCGTACCAAGTTTGGTCCAGATCCATCATTGTTTGAGTCCACAGTGCTCTCTAGATGTAGGTGAACTACAACTCCAAAACCCAAGGTCAATGCCCGCCAAACCCTTCTAGTGTTTTCTGCTGGTCAGGGGAGTTCTGTGTGCCAAGTTTGGTTCAATTCCATCGTTGGTGGAGTTCAGAATGCTCTTTGATTATAGGTGAACTATAAATCCCAGCAACTACAACTCCCAAATGACAAAATCATATTTTTTGAGTGATGGTCATTCCTTGTGTAGCGAGACGTTTTGTTGCCAAATTTGGTGTGATTTCATTCATTGGTTATTTTGTTTTTAAGGTACTCATTATGCACAGAGCATATATATATATATTTCATATACTTGTACCCCACCCTTCTCACCCCCCGAGGACTTTCAGGAAGGGCAAAAGCTGCACATCGCAAGTGCTAAACCTGACTCAGCACATAGAAGATGGCTTTGAAAGGCAGCAGGTCACAGGAGCTGTCTTCATAGACCTGTCAGCGGCTTATGATACCGTAAACCACTGCCTCCTCCTGAGAAAAATGTATAATATCACAAAGGACTACCACCTCACCCGCCTCATAGGAAACCTGCTACAAAACAGGAGCTTTTTTGTTGAGTTCCAGGGCCAGAGAAGCAGATGGTGGAAACAGAAGAACGGCCTGCCTCAGGGGAGCGTGCTTACTCCATCCATGTTCAACATTTACACAAATGACCAGCCACTTCCAGAAGGGACAGAAAGTTTTATCTATGCTGATGATCGTGCCATTACTGCTCAAGCAGGGAGCTTTGAGATGGTTGAGCAGAAGCTTTCCGAAGCTCTAGGTGCTTTTACTGCCTATTACAGGGAAAACCAGCTGATCCCTAATCCATCTAAAACACAGACATGTGCTTTTCACCTGAAGAACAGATAAGTATCCCAAGCTCTGAGGATTACCTGGGAAGGAATCCCACTGAAGCATTGCAGCACACCCAAATACCAGGGAATCACTCTGGAACGAACGAATAAAGAAGGGAAAAGAGAAGGAAAAGGAAAGAATCTCATAGAAGTCAAAAATACTACTTTTTCTATCAGCTTTATATTCTTCGCAGCCTTTTCCTGTTATTTCTTATACTCCCCCACACACCTAGCAATAGCTACCTTTCTTTATTTTTTTTCACTCAGTCTAAACCATCTTAACTTTAACTTTGTTCAATCTACCTTAGGTCTTTGACTTTCTCATACTCTTCCCCCTGCTATCTTTTTTTCTTATTATTTTTATTCCCACTATTGAAGAAAAATGTATTTTGTATTTGTATTTTTTAACCTAATAAAGATTATTTTTTTAAAAGAACCACTGCCTGAATATCAAGCAAAAAGTGAGCACTAGAAACAATATCATACGAAAGCTGACTAGCACAACCTGAGGATCACAACCGATACAGCGAAGACATCTGCGCTTGCGCTATGCATCTCTGCTGCTGAGTATGCATGCCCAGTGTAGAACATGTTTCACCATGCTAAAACAGTGGATGTGGCTCTTAATGAGACATGCCACATTATCACGGGGTGTCTGCGCCCTACACCACTGGAGAAATTACACTTTTTACCCAGTATTGCATCACCTGACATCCGCTGGGAAGTAGCAACCAATAGTGAAAGGACCAAGGCAGTGACATCTCCAGCCCACTCCGTTTGGGTATCAGCCAGCAAGCCAATGACTTAAATGAAGAAATAGTTTTCTAAGATCTACAAAGACACTCGCTGGAACACCTCAGCAAGTGAGAATCCAAAAGTAGCAGGCTCAAACACAGAACCTCAACCAATGGCTGGTACCAAATGAGAGACTCCCTCCTGGGCACAAAGAAAACTGGGCGACTTGGAAGGCGCTGAACAGACTGCGCTCTGGCACCACGAGATAGAAAGCCAACCTTAAGAAATGGGGGTACAAAGTGGAGTCCACGACTTGTGAGTGTGGAGAAGAGCAAACCACAGACCACCTACTGCAATGCAACCTGAGCCCTAATACATGCACAATGGAGGACCTTCTTGCAGCCACACCAGAGGCACTCCAAGTGGCTATCTACTGGCCAAAGGACATTTAATAGAATACCAAGTCTGCAAACTTTGTGGTTTGTTTGTTTGTTTTTAATGCAGTACAACTGTTTTGGTTCGCTCCTGACACGATAAATAAATATAAATAAATCTCTCCTGAAGAAGACTCGAAGCAAAGGCGGCAGCAGTGGCAGAAACAGGAGCCTGAAAGAGGTGGCTTAACTCTTTAGCCATTACAGTAGAGTCTCGGTTATCAACATTTTTGCTTATCCAACGTTCTACCTGCCCGTTTATGTTGGATAACCAAGACTACTGCATACAATAATAGACACATAGCCACTTCGAGTCTTTTTCAGGAGAGATGAATAATTATTGTTAATATATTTATTTACACCCTGCTTTATCTCTCCCATAGGAGGCTCAAAACAGCTATGTATCTATTATATAATAATAATAATAATAATAATAATAATAATAATAATAATAGATACATAGCTGCTTTGAGAATTTTATGGGAGAGATAAAGCAGGGTATAAATAAATATAAAATAATAATAATAATAATAATAATAATAATAATGTAATTATAATAATAGATACATACCCGCTTTGAGTCTTCTTCAGGAGATATATATATTATTATTATATTTATTTATATCCTGCTTTATGTCTCCTGTAGGATACTCAAAGAGGCTAAGTATCTATAATTATAATTATATTATTCTTATATTTATTTATTTGAGTCTCCCGAAGGAGAGTTAAAGCAGCTATGTATTATTATTATTATTATTATTACTCCACTATTTCTTCCACAGTAGACTCAAAGTGGCTATTCATCTATATTATTATTATTTATAGATGATTTTTTTTATGGGAGAGATAAAGCGGGGTATAAATAAGTATAATAATAATAATATAATATAATTATTATAATAGATACATAGCCGCTTTGAGTCTTCTGCAGGAGAGATAAATATTGGTATTATATTTATTTATACCCTGCTTTATGTCTCCTGTAGAACACTCAAAGAGGCTATGTATCTATAATTATAATTATATTATTCTTATATTTATTTATTTGAGTCTCACAAAGGAGATTTAAAGTAGCTATGTATCATCATCATCATCATCATTATTATTATTTATGTCCCACTATTTCTCCCAAAGTAGATTCAAAGTGACTATTCATCTATATTATTATTATTATTTGAAACAACAAGATGAGTCCACAGCAAACAAGATCACTCTGCTGGCTGTTGTATTGGATCACACGTCAGACACTTTCCAAGTGTCTAGGACTGTGTGATGTATCAGCGAATAATGCATGCAGATCCCAATAAGGTGGCCTTCTGCAGCTGGCAGATGGTAATTGTGTCAGCGCCGATTGTGTTTAAGTGCAGGCCGAGGTCTTTAGGCACTATACCCAGTGTGCTGATCACCACTGGGACCAGAGTGCCAGAGTCTTTGCAGTTCAAACTTTAAACCCTCATATCGTGTCATCTTTTCCATCGTTTCTCTTTGTTTCTCTTCAATCCTGCTGTCACCTGGGATTGCAACATCGACAATCCATACTTTGTTTTGTAACACGATCGTGAGGTCAGGAGTATTGTGCTCCAAAATTCTGTCTGTCTGAATCTGGAAGTCCCAGAGTAGCTTGACATGTTCATTCTCTGTAACTTTTTCCAGCTTGTGATCCCACCAGTTCTTTGTTGCATGCAGATGGTATTTGTGGCACAAGTTCCAATGGATCATCTGAGCAACGGTGTTATGCCTCTGCTTCTAGTCCGTCTGTGTGATCTTCTTGCAGCAGCTGAGGATGTGATCTATTGTTTCGTCTGCTTCCTTGCAGAGTCAACATTTGGGATCTGTCATCGACTTTTCGATTCTGGCTTTGATGGCATTCGTTCTAATGGCTTGTTCTTGGGCTGCCAGAATCAGGCCTTCTGTCTCCTTTTTCAAAGTCCCATTTGTAAGCCACAGCCACAAATCTACATCATCATCATTATTATTATTATTATGTATACACTGTACAAGGACCAAGTAGCAACAGTCAGAACTGACCACGGAACAACAGACTGGTTCAAGATTGGGAAAGGCGTCCGGCAAGGCTGCATACTCTCACCCAACCTTTTTAATGTGTATGCAGAACACAACATGCGATGTGCGGGGCTTGATGAATGCAAAGCTGGGGTAAAAATTGCTGGAAGAAACATTAACAACCTCAGATATGCTGATGACACCACTCTGATGGCCGAAAGTGAGGAGGAGCTGAGGAGCCTTCTAATCAAGGTGAAAGAAGAAAGCGCAAAAGCTGGGTTGCAGTTAAACGTCAAAAAAACCAAGATTATGGCAACAAGAATGATTGACAACTGGAAAATAGAGGGAGAAAATGTGGAGGCCGTGACAGACTTTGTATTTCTAGGTGCAAAGATTACTGCAGATGCAGACTGTGGCCAGGAAATCAGGAGACGCTTACTTCTTGGGAGGAGAGCAATGTACAGTCTCGATAAAATAGTAAAGAGTAGAGACATCAGACTGACAACAAAGACTAGTCAAAGCCATGGTATTCCCTGTAGTAACCTACGGATGTGAGAGCTGGACCTTAGGGAAGGCTGAGCGAAGGAAGATCGATGCTTTTGAGCTGTGGTGTTGGAGGAAAGTTCTGAGAGTGCCTTGGACTGCGAGAAGATCCAACCAGTCCATCCTCCAGGAAATAAAGCCCGGCTGCTCATTGGAGGGAAGGATACTAGAGACAAAGTTGAAGTACTTTGGCCACATCATGAGGAGACAGGAAAGCCTAGAGAAGACAATGATGCTGGGGAAAGTGGAAGGCAAAAGGAAGAGGGGCCGACCAAGGGCAAGATGGATGGATGGCATCCTTGAAGTGACTGGACTGACCTTGAAGGAGCTGGGGGTGGTGACGGCCGACACGGAGCTCTGGCGTGGGCTGGTCCGTGAGGTCACGAAGAGTCGGAGACGACTGAACGAATGAACAACAACAACATACACTGCTTTGTTTCTCCCTAAGGCGACTAAAACCAGCGGTTGTCTATTATCAGTTATTATTATTATTATTATTATTATTATTATTATTATTATTATTATTATGAGAAACACAACAAGATGAGTCCACAGCAGACAAGATCACTCTGCTGACTGTTGTATTGGATCACACGTCGGACACTTCCCAAGTGTCTAGGACTGTGTGATGTATCGGCGAATAATGCGTGCAGATCCCAATAAGGTGGCCTTCTGCAGCTGGCAGATGGTAATTTTTTCAGCGCCAATTGTGTTTAAGTGCAGGTCACGGTCTTTAGACACTGCACCCAGTGTACCAATCACCACCTTTACTGGCTTGTGCCAGAGTCTTTGCAGTTCAATCTTTAAATTTTCATATCATGTCATCTTTTCCAGTTGTTTCTCTTCAATCCTGCTGTCACCTGGGATTGCAACATTGACAATCCATACTTTGTTTTTTAACACAATTGTGAGGTCAGGAGTATTATTATTATTATTATTATTATTATTTATACCCCATAATTTCTCCCAAAGGAGACTCAAAGTGGCTACTCATCTTTATTGTGTGGAGCCCCCCCCCCCGGTGGCGCAGTGGGTTAAAGCCCTGTGCTGGCAGGACTGAAAACCGACAGGTCGCAGGTTCGAATGCGGGGAGAGGCGGATGAGCTCCCTCTATCAGCTCCAGCTCCTCATGCGGGGACATGAGAGAAGCCTCCCACATCAAAATCATCCAGGCGTCCCCTGGGCAACGTCCTTGCAGACAGCCAATTCTCTCACACCAGAAGCGACTTTCAGTTTCTCAAGTCGCTCCTGACACGACAAAAAGAAAGAGGGTCTAGCCTATTTATTTATTTATTGCATTTGTTGACCACCGCTCTCAGCCCTAGGGCAACTCGCGGCGGTGTACAACATATAAAAACAGTTTACAATAGAGTACAATAAGAAATCAACATATCAATAAGACAAGCTAATCTAAATTACACTAGCTGATCCGCTCCGTCACATCAGAATCATAACCAATCTCATAATCCATATTCCGTTCCAGTTGTCGTTACCAGTCAATGTAGCATTTAGTTAAATGCCTTCTAATAGCCAGGTCTTTAGGCTTTTACGGAAAGCCATAAGGGAGGGCGCCTGTCTGATGTCAACAGGGAGGGTGTTCCTCTATCAGCTCCAGCTCCTCATGCGGGGACATGAGAGAAGCCTCCCACATCAAACATCAAAATTGAACCCCTGTGCTGGCAGGACTGAAGACCGACAGGTCGCAGGTTCGAATCCGGGGAGAGGTGGATGAGCTCCCTCTATCAGCTCCAGCTCCTCATGCGGGGACATGAGAGAAGCCTCCCACATCAAATCATCCAGGCGTCCCCTGGGCAACGTCCTGTGCTGGCAGGACTGAAGACCGACAGGTCGCAGGTTCGAATCCGGGGAGAGGTGGATGAGCTCCCTCTATCAGCTCCAGCTCCTCATGCGGGGACATGAGAGAAGCCTCCCACATCAAATCATCCAGGCGTCCCCTGGGCAACGTCCTGTGCTGGCAGGACTGAAGACCGACAGGTCGCAGGTTCGAATCCGGGGAGAGGCGGATGAGCTCCCTCTATCAGCTCCAGCTCCTCATGCAGGGACATGAGAGAAGCCTCCCACAAGGATGATAAAACATCAAATCATCCGGGCGTCCCCTGGGCAACGTCCTTGCAGACGGCCAATTCTCTCACACTAGAAGCGACTTGCAGTTTCTCAAGTCACTCCTGACACGACAAAAAAAACTTTATTGTTGTTATTATTATTATTATATTTATGTATACCCTGCTTTATCTCAGCTGTTGTCTATTATCTGTTGTCTATTATAATAATAATAGATACATAGATACATAATAGATACAGATTCAAAGCATCAGCCTACAATTTAAAATATTCAAATATTATAATTATTATATTTTTAGTATCCTGCTTTATCTCTGCTTGAGGGGAGAGAGAGAGAGAGAGAGAGGCATCTCCTGTCTATCTATCTAGCTATCTCCCTCCGGGAACTACAACTCCCAGGGTTCCCGAGTTAGTGCTGGTAATTGTGGGAGTTGAAGTCTGGTATAACACTTGGCATTGTAACCCCGCCCCCTTGTCAATCAATCTCGAGGCAAAAGAGATCAAAATGGAGGTGGGGCCTATAATCTTTGCACACGGGCCGCTTAATCATTTCGCTCCGACCCTGCTGGTCAAAGAGGGGTGGTATTGCGCACGCGGTCATTTGGTTATTTCCCGTCGTCCTCTGCGCGCTATAAATATCAGAGCGCCACGCTCTTTCGTCCTTTTGGTGGCACGCCGTGTGCGAGGTAAGTTGTGAGCTCATCTTTTGTGAATGATGTAGGCCCAGCTGGAAGTGAGATAATAATACTGTAACCGGTGGGAAGGAGGCTTGCATGCAAGTGTGTGTGTTTTGTTTGTACAAAGCCAACCTAAATTTGGTATCTTCGCAGGAAAATGGGTTTTGTGTTTCTTTTAGTTAACATTCAGGCCTGAAACAGGTTTCTACCTTGATCTGCTGCTTTGCAAAAGTGTTCTTCAGGTTAGTGGTGTATATTACATATTACATAGAATGATAGAGTTGGAAGAGACCTCATGGGCCATCCAGTCCAACCCCCTGCCAAGAAGCAGGAATATTGCATTCAAATCACCCCTGACAGATGGCCATCCAGCCTCTGTTTCAAAGCTTCCAAAGAAGGAGCCTCCACCATATAATATTGCTAATCATATGGAGCAACATATAATATTGCTAATCATATGGAGTAACTATAATATGTTATTGTATGTTATGTATTACATGTAATATTGACTAAGAATAATAGTTGTATATTATTCTTTACATGTAATATTACTAATATTTATTTATATATCCTACTTTATCTCCCAGAGACTGGAAGCAGCACACAATTAGAAACATTACAATGCAACTTATAATATACAATAATAAACCAGGATTCTCACGTAGTCATATTATAATTTATTTATTGGTATCATTATATTTTGATAATAGTTTTATATTGTATTTTGATATTAGTTTTATATTGTATTGCAATACAATGTTATTAATATACTAGCCGTCCCCTGCCACGCGTTGCTGTGGCCCACATGGAGGTTCTGTGTGGGAGGTTTGGCCCAATTCTATCGTTGGTGGGATTCAGAATGCTCTGTGATTGTAGGTGAACTATAAATCTCAGCAACTACAACTCTCAAATGTCAAGATTCTATTTTCCCCAAACTTCACCAGTGCTCACATTTGGGCATATTGAGTTTTCGTGAAGAGTTTGGTCCAGATCCATCATTGTTTGAGTCCACAGTGATCTCTGGATGTAGGTGAACTACAACTCCAAAACCAAAAGAAACTGCCCACCAGACCCTTCCAGTATTTTCTGTTGGTCATGGGAGAACTGTGTGCTAAGTTTGGTTCAATTCCATCATTGGTGGGGTTCAGAATGCTGTTTGTAGGTGAACTATAAATCACAGAAGCTACAACTCCCAAATGACAAAACATTATTTTTTTTGAAGGACATACATTGGGTTGTTAAGTGTATCGTGTCCAAATTTGGTGCCAATTGCCCCAGAGGTTTTTGAGTTCTGTTAATCCCACAAACGAACATTACATTTTTATTTATATAGATGTATATACAATATATCATTAGGTAAAGGTTTTCCCCTGACTTTAAGCCCAGTCCAACTCTGGGGATCGGTGCTCATCTCCATTTCTAAGCCAGAGAGCTGGTGTTGTCCATAGACACCTCCAAGGTCATGTGGCCACTGGCATGACTGCATGGAATGCTGTTAACCTTCCTGCCGGAGCGGTAATTCTTGATCTCACATTTACATGTTTTCGAACTGCTGGGTTGGCAGAAGATGGGGCTAACAGTGGGAGCTCACCCCACTCTCTGGATTCGAGCCTGAGACCTTTAGCTCAGCAAGCTCAGCAGTTTAAACCACTGCGCCACCAGGGGCTACACAAAATATCGTTAGCATAGCACAGTATTAGTATTCTATATTATTATATTGTACTATGTAAATTATGTGGTGTAATGTAAAATAAGCCACATCTGATTCAAGTTTGGTCAGCCCACACACTGCCTTGCCAGAGAAAGAAAATATGCCAGTGTGGTGAACAGTAAAGAATAAGGTAGTTTTCTCTTTGTAGTTCAGAACAACATATGTACAATGTGATTAATTGCATCAGCTCACATAATATCCTTTTATGAGAGATTTAAAATGTTCTTTCTTTTGTCCATGTGGATTCACTCCTTCCGCTTATGAAGTGAGAGCACGCACCAAACTTTTTCTCTGCTTCTCTCTTCAAACTGTCTCTGTGGATGTGCATAGTTCAAGCCCAAACAAAAATGTAACAGTATCCAAAAGTCCCAGGCTTAGCCATCTCCCTGGGCATTGCCTGACCAATCTGCTTCATGCATCTTATTTTACAGTTGACACACACATTCACTTATTCCTTGCATGCTCCAACATCTTATATATTATAATACTTATCCTTTACATACTGTACTATATATGTGTGTGTATATGTATATTATAGTATTGTGTATTGTATGTACTGCTAGGAATTGTGGGAGTTGAAGTTCAAAACACCTGAAGGGCTAATGTTGGCCCATTCCTATGCTATACTGTTATGAAAGCTATGATTCCTGTTTTTAGTGCTATTATGACTACCTCCTGGTGGATTCTGGGGTTTGTAGGTTAGTGGGGCCTCTGGCTGAGAATACAAAAGGTCCCTCCCCAAACTACAAATCTCAGGATTCCATAGGAGACAGCCATGGCAGTTGAAGTAGAATAATGACCCTATAACAGTGATAATGGAGGCCCTGCAAAGCAGGTAGAGCGGACCAAAGGACTTTCTGAATTTACTGTAGGCCTGGAATGTTTTGGGAATTGAGGTTACCTTTTCCTTGTTAAATATCTATAGAGTGAATGCCATGTTAAAGACTGTTTATGCCAGCACCTCCCTAAAGTGGTTGGTTGCAAATACACTGCTTCATATTATATGGGTTTTTGTTGTGGTGGCCCCAGATTAATTTTCCCACTAATTGTGAACTATAGGGGCCACACTCAGCATGTATTTTTAGATGCATGACTTGATTCAAAGGGTGACTATGCGGGACGATCCCGTTTTTCCATGATAGCTCTATCTCCTTTCACCCTCATGCTCTTCCAGGGGCATGTATATAGTTTTTGCCCCTTTGGGACACTGCCCCAACACACCAAGCCAATTGGATCCCTTGTCTTTTCCCCAAGAACTTTTAGGGGAGGATAGTTTAGGCAAAATATATATTTCATAATAGTGGGGGCATCTCTGCTTCAGGGACAGAATTTTGCTCCCACTTGTCTTGGGACTTTGTTCCCAATCAGATCCCCACTGTTACCATCAGTGACCGTTTGGCACCACTTTAAACTGTGGGGTTTATAGTTTGGTGAGGCACCAGGGTGATTTGGCACAGGCCTTGTGAAATTATGCCTCCCAAGGATGTTATCGCAATGAGTTATGGCAGCTAAAGCTAAGTCAGAGCACATTGATTTTGTAGTATAGATGCACTGTTAGATTCTGTCTGTCTAAACCAGTGGTTCTCAACCTTCCTAATGCCGTGACCCCTTAATGCAGTTCCTCATGGGTTGGTGACCCCCAACCATAACATTATTTCCATTGGTACTTTGTAACTGTAATTTTGCTACTGTTATGAATCGTAATGTAAATATCTGATGTGCAGGATGTATTCTCATTCACTGGACCAATTTGGCACAAATAGCCAATATGCCCAAATTTGAAAACTGATGGGGTTGGGGGGGGGGGGGGAATTCATTTTGTCATTTGGGAGTTGTAGTTGCTGGGATTTATAGTTAACCTATAATCAAAGAGTAATCTGAACTCCACCAAGAAAAGAATCAATCCAAATTTGGCACACAGAACTCCCAAGCCCAAGAGAAAGTACTGGAAGGGTTTGTTGGGCATTGACCTTGAGTTTGTGAGTTGTAGTTCACCTCCATCCAGAGAGCACTGTGGACTCAAACAGTGATGGATCTGGACCAAACTTGGCATGAATACTCAATATGCCCAAATGTGAACACTGGTGGCGTTTGGGGAAAATAGACCGTGACATTTTGGGAATTGTAATTGCTGGGATGTATAGTTAACCTATAATCAAATAGCACTCTGAACCCAGCTCAAAATGGATCTGTACCAAACTTGGCACACTACCGACATGGCCAACATTAACTACTGGTGGAGTTGGGGGGGGGTCTGTTTTTGAATTCTGGGAGTTGTCATTCACCAACACCAACAAGGATGAGGACAGACAGAGATCTTCAGCCTTCTCTGCCAAAAGGGTTCCTAAGACCATCAGAAATGTGTTTTCTGATGGTCTTTGGCGACCCCTCTGAAACCCCCTCATGACCCCCCCTCATGATCCCCAGGTTGAGAAACACTGGTCTAAACTATTAACCTAGTTGTGTGTGTGTGTCTTCGAGTTGCCTCTTAATTTAAGGCGACCTGCTTCTTGGCAGGGGGTTGGACTGGATGCCCCATGAGGTCTCCTCCAACTGTATGATTCCATTAATTTCACAGGATTTTCTTTGGCAAGGAATACTCAGAGGTTCCTTTTTTAAAAAAATAGTTCAGAGCACCTGGCATTAGTTGGTGGTCTCCCATCTAAATACTGACCCTCTGTAGCTTTCAAGAACAGACCGGCTCTGGTGTCTTTGCCAAGGTGTGCTATATAGATGGTGCCAACAGGGATACCTGGGAGGGGTTGCTCCCTCTCAGCTCTGTCCATGCGGCGTGTGGGAGCCTAGGCCCTTGGGCTCTGTGATGTATAGTCCCCTTCCGCACTGTTGGAGAGCAAGCGGGCCCCTGAGGTCTGCAGCCTGCATATTCCTACTTCTTCTCTGAGCCTTTGGGCTGTGACTGAGGAGAGAAACCATGCAGGAGACACTTAATGAACCAAAGACAGCTCTCAGTGGTTTCTGCTTGTAGCTGTTGCTGACAGTTTGCATGGTGTGTGTGGACTGCTTTGATGTGTTTGGCAGGATTTCATGATGTTATTCCTACATCTTGGGAATTTTTTTAAAAAAATTCAAAATAAATTATACAAATCACACAACGAGCAGGAACAAAAACATGCATCAATTCAGTTAAACAACAAATCAGATATTCACTCATCACTTGTGGGACATTTATTCATCCTTAATATTAATAATTATTATATTGACCTCTTCTCCAACTCCTATATACTGTGTATTCATTTGGTTTTATTTCTTTTTCTTTGACAAATATATATTGTAAGAATTTGCCCCACATAGCCTCAAAATCATATCCCCCAAAAAAGTTGGGATAGTACTGGCTAAAGCTCAAAAGGAAGTAATATTTCCAAGTGCTTTTTCCACTCCTTGGAGCCCCCGGTGGCACAGTGGGTTAAACTGCTGAGCTGCTGAACTTGCTGATCGAAGGTTTGAATCCAGGTAGTGGTGTCAGCTCCCACTGTTAGCTCCAGCTTCTGCTAACCTAGCAGTTCGAAAACATGCCAATGTAAGTAGATCAATAGGTACCGCTCCAGTGGGAAGGTCACAGCATTCCATGCAGTCATGCCACTGACCACATTACCTTTGAGATGTCTACGGACAATGCCAGCTCTTCAGCTTAGACATGGAGATGAGCACCAACCCCCAGAGTCGGACATGACTGGACTTAATGTCAAGGGAAAACCTTTACCCTTTTCCATTCCTGACTGATAGGACTCAGCAAAATTGTTGCATATGTGAAAAGGTTGGGCAGAGCATTAGAGAATGCCAAGACAGGGAGGCGCCTTTTCACACTACCGTGTTACAGCACTATCATTCCACTTTAGCTCCCTGGGCAGCATACTATGGAATCCAGGTATTTGTAGTTCAAGGAGAGGCATTTAGGATTCTCACCCAAACAACGCTTAGGCCTCAATAAATTACCATTCCGATAGGACATTAAAGATTTCTCCTGACCCACTTCTATTTATCACAGGATGCTGAAACTGCACATGCATACCAGTCTATAGGTTATGTGCCAGTTTACAACTCAGAACTGATAATGGTCTTGATTCTACAGGTGCTGAAGTGGTGTAAGAATGGACCCAGTGGAATACGGATCAGTTTTCAAGTTCCATTACTTGAAAGGCCGCATACCAGAGGAGGCGTTCAATGAGATGAAAGAGGCTTATGGTGAGGATTCCCCATCATACGATGTAGTCAAGAAGTGGCACTGTCAATTCCAATGTGGTCAGATTTTGGTGGAAACAGTTCCAATTCCAGGGTAACCCCACTCTGCTCTTTTTGAACACACCATCCAGCAAATGGAGGTTGCCATTTTGGAAAATTGTCCCTTGTAATTCTTCAGGATGTAGCAATGACAAGCATTAATGTTGCCGCAGTGCAGTTTGATAATGAACTTAAGTTAGTCTCCCAATTGGCTTCAAATTATCCAGGCTGACTTTCAGGCCAGTCCCTTTGTCTTTACTTAACCTACTTCATGGAGCTGTTGCCATGGCAGGATAGCCATCGAGCTTGAAGTGCAAGCTAAAATACATTTAGACATGATTTCAACATTAGATGAAAAGGAGTCGATACTCTGAAAGAAATAAAGGAGAAAGGCATGTCTGTTTGGGTTTAACTCATCTTAAGAGTTGAGAGGTCTGTTTCTTTAAGGTATCTTGTTGCCTTTTGTATGTACCAAATATTCTACCTTGCATCTTGTAGTTTAATCTCATTTTACCAAAATTATTGAATCCAGTTTTATTGTGTTTTAATTTATTTTAGTTAACTATTACAGGAGTTTTAAGATAGTGATTAGTGTCTTATTAGTGTACGTTTGACATTTATTGTTGATACGGTCAGTGAACCAATCAATAATCCGATCTATTTTACCTTGCTGTGTTTTATTTCCCAGATTGAGACTGATTTTATTATGTTTTTGATGATTTTTAAAATTATATATACATACATAGAAACATACAAACTTTGAAATTCAACAATCAAAATACAAGTATTTTTGCTGTGTTTGTTATCAGTTGTATATCCCGTCTTGGCTCAGGCATCTCAGCAAGGATTGAATGCTGTTGTGAGACAAATGATCAATATGACTTTTGCAGGTCTTCAGAGTTGCAAAGGCAGGCAGCTTGTTTTTTATTTATTTATTTATTTTACTATGCTTGATTTTTTTCCCCATGTCAGGAGTGACTTGAGAAACTGCAAGTTGCTTCTAGTGTGAGAGAAATGGTTGTGTGCAAGGACGTTGCCCAGGGGCTGCTCCAATGTGTTACCATCTTGTGGGAGGCTTTTCCCATGTCCCTGCATTAGAAGCTGGAGCTGACAGAGGGAGCTCAACTCGCTCTCTCCAAATTTGAACCTCCAGTCCTGCTGCCATAAGGGTTCAATCTGTTGAGCCACTGGGGGCTCCACTATCCCTGATGAAGTGACACTTAGATAGAGGCAGGAATTAAAAGACTTGCAGTAGTCAGGCTCCATTCTGTGTAGTGTGTAATATTCACGTTGAAAGTGGCTTGAAATTGTATACTTAGATATTACTTAATACCGAATGACGCTTCCTGTTTCAGGATACATTCAGATACAGCAATAGTACTTATCTACTAATTTACCAACAATCTACTTTGCTCTAGCTTAGGACGCTTGTTTGTTTCAGTGATTCTGATATTGGACTGGATAACTGACAGTGTTAGCAACTTGGGTGTGTGGTGGCAGGGTCAAATTGGACAAGTCTGGTAAACAGCTTACAAGGAAGATGTTAATGTTGTATTTCTTTGGTTTTGTCTGCAGCACCTACACATCTGAACTGCATAATGGAAAGTGTTTCTAAAACATCAATTTATGCTCCACGATTTATAAAACAGCCCTGAAGCAGCTTACACTATAATGGTAAGACTATGGCATTATAAGATGTATTAAAATGTCCAGAAAGCTAGTAGCGAAGGCTAATACACAAATGGCTGAAATGCCATGGAGTAGACTGTTGGGGAATAAAACATGGAGATCTCGGGCTTGCCCTATGGTTGAAACCTGAGAAATACTCATCTTAGCAATCGGGAGAGAGGCAGACAAAGAGGACAATGAGGGAATGGTTTTGCCCACCAGCTAAGTCAAAGCAATTTCCTTGATAAGGACTATAATCTTGTGCAGAATGTAATTGATTGCCAACAAACCTTAAATGCATGGAAGTTTTCTGATAATCAGTATGGACTCAACACAGGGTAACCCAATGGGGATATCTGGGAGAGGTCGCTCTCTCTCAGCTCTGTCCGCGTGGCGTGTGGGAGCATAGGCCTTTCTGGCTCCGTGATGTATAGTCCCCTTCCACACCATTGGAGAGCAAGATGGGCCTCCTCAGAGGTCCGCAGCCTGCATATTCCTACTGCTTCTCTGAGCCTTTTGGCAGTGACTGAGGAGATAAACCATGCAGGAGACATTGCTGTGTTTGTATTATCGAAGGCTTTCATGGCCGGAATCACTGGGTTGTTGTAGGTTTTTCCAGGCTATATGGCCATGTTCTAGAGGCATTTTCTCCTGACGTTTCGCCATAGATGCCTCTAGAACAGGGCCATATAGCCCAGAAAAACCTACAACTACCCATTGCTGTGTTTGTTTGAGCAAATTGTCAATCTGGTGCAGGTTTTTTTTCCAGTCTTGCGCCTTCCAGGGGTTTTGAAGGTCCATCAGCCCCTTCCTGTGGGGCCAAACAGTCAGGAATGATACGAGGATTTTGTCCAAAACAGTAGCAAGTCATCAAAGATTTGAAGTGGGGCCTTGTTTTCTGTAAAACGGGCAAACTTCCAGGAGGGCCAAAGTGAAATATAGAATAGCTTCTCAAGAAAACTTTGCATTGGATTGATGGTTAACCTTACATTTATTTACTGTTTTAAGTGTTCATTTTTGGATGTATTTTGTGTGTGTGTGTGTATACACACAGAGACACAAATTCAAAGAATTGGAAATATGGCATGTTGGGACAGAAGGAACAAGCCTGTATTAGTCCTTTCCCTAAAATCATATAGAAGCTCGTAATTTGAGGTATATTTATATTACTTCATTGTGTCTTTTCTCTTGCATTCAAGGAGTCTCGAAAACTAAGATAAGCAGTTACAACAGCCGTTGCTAAAATAAGCATGAGGCACCCTCCAAGTTCAAGGTATTGATGGGAGAACCTTTTTTGCTGCTTTACTCTTTTATCTGTAATTCTGTAGCATTTAACCTTGGCAGTTATAGAAACTGAATTATTTCTACAGTGTAGATGCAGCCTCAGCTATCAGGAAGCACTCCTGTTGTGATAAGAGTTCATCTACACCAGTGTTTCTCAACCTTCCTAATGCCACGACCCGTTAATACGCTTCCTCATGTTGTGGTGACCCCCAACCATAAAATTAGTTTCATTGCTACTTCATAACTGTCATTTTGCTGCTGATATGCAGGATGTATTTTCATACACTGGACCAAATTTGGCACAAAGACCCAATACACCCAAATGTAAATACTGGTGGGATTGGGGGAGGGTATTCATTTTGTCCTGTGGGAGTTGTAGTTGCTGGGATGTATAGTTCACCTACAATCAAAGAGCATTCTCAACTCCACCAACAATGGAATTGAATCAAACTTGGGACACAGAACTCCCATGACCAAGAGAAAATACTGGGTTTGGTGGGCATTGACCTTGGGTTTTGGGAGTTGTAGTTCACCTACATCCAGAGAGCACTGTGGACTCAAACAATGATGGATCTGGACCAAACTTGGCACGAATTCTCAATATGCCCAAATGTAAACACTAGTGGGGTTTGGGGAAAATAGACCTTGACATTTGGGAGTTATAGTTGCTGGGATTTATAGTTCACCTACAATCAAAGAGCATTCCGAACCTGCCAATGATTGAATTGGGCCAAATCTTCCCACATAGAACCTCCATGACCAACAGAAAATACTGTGTTTTCTTGTGGTCTTTGGTGATCCCTCGCGACCCCTCCAGGGGTCCCGACCCCCAGGTTGAGAAACACTGATCTACATGATGAATTAATGCAATGACACAACCTTTAGTCCTGGGAGTTGTTGGGCGAGTGGGCTTATTAACAAAAGACCCTCACCGTAAATGTACAATAGAGTAACTTTTCAGCAGCAGTCTGACTCTGCAACAGTAGCCCAAAGTGACAAAAAGAACAAAAACACACAGACCAATGCGTGTTTTTCCATAGAAGGCTTTTCTTTGTAGTAAAATAATGTTTGCACTATTTACAACAAGGTTTCCATAACACAAATACACAGTAGCCTTCACACTGGAGCTTCTCACACAAGGCTTCGCTCATACTAAGGTTTACCTCACACTCCTCAGGACAACACTAGCTTTGGCTCACTGACTAACAGGCTTTGCCCTACTCACTCTCCTGAGGACGATGCCAGCTTTGGCCCACTGACTCTTTTAACAGGCTTCGGCCTACTAACCCTTTCAGTTCTTGACTCACACTTTTGTAATCTAAAATACCCAGTTAATTTTTAATATTTCTGACAGTAGTTTGGTAAGGCATCAGCATGAGAGAGAGAGGGTTGGGGACTTACTTATGGCTAAGTTTCTGTTTATCGTTCTTTATCAGGTCTCTTCAAAGAGAAATGCCAGCCTGTGGTGAAAAAGCTGAGAAGGTGTATCAGCGATTTATCAGCTCCCTGAAGAAGATGGGAAACGGCAAGGATTCTGAGAAAATCAAAACTTCCCTCCAGTAACATAACAAGGAAAGAAAAAAGGCCATTAAAGACCTCAATTGGGATTCAGAAAGACTTTATACTAGCCTAAAGAAGCTAAACACAGTTGATTTACTGGCCTAACAATAGAGAACTTTTTATATCCTAGGATAACATGGAAGTTTACGTCCCTAGAGTTGTATATTCCTGCTTGCATGCGCTGGATGGGTGGATGCGTGCTTGAGGGTAGGATGCTTGGTTCTTTTGTATGAGTGTGTGCGTGAGAGAATGATCTCCCCCCCCCCCTACTTCCCCCCACCTCCTCACTCTTATTTCTTGTTCCTACTGTCTAGGGATTGGTTATTGTAGTAATTGTTTATTAATTGTGTAATGTGTTAAGTTGTTAACTGTTTTTACACTGTTGCACTGCATTTTTGCTATTCTTATTGGTTGTGAACCGCTGTGAGTTGCCTTCGGGCTGAGAACAGCAGTATAGAAGTAAAGTAAATAAATAAATATCCTAACTATTGTTCCCCCACTTTTAATGTATTCAGAAATTCACAATAAAAATTACAAGAAAAGAAAAGAAATCGTTCTCCCGGCAGATAAAGGTGTAATGACCACGGTCATCATGAAAACAGAACGATCTAGAGAAAAAGCCAGACAACTGTTGGATCCCACAACATACGGAAAACTAAAATGGGACCCAACCAATAAAATCACAAGAAAAACCAACTGATTAAGAATGCTTAATCCTAACATATGCCAAAATCTATGAAAATCTGACGCTCTCCCTTCTAGGCTTTGTAGATTCAAAATACTCCACAAGGACCCATTGTGGGCACCATGAGGAGCCCTACATACGGTTTGGCAAAATTTTGGGCTGCACAACTACAAACCCATATTGGACTTACTGCGCACTATGATACGGACTCTGCTCATGTCATAGAAAAGTCAGCAGTAAAACTCCGCACCAATGACAAACGGGACCACTTAAATGTGGTTTCCCTATTCAAGGTCCCCATAGTAGATGCATCAACTGGAATTTCCCTTTAAATTATTATTAAATATATGTTTTTATTGCCGACACAAGCAGAATGATATCACAATCTTTGTGGTTTGAGATTTTACCTTGGCATTTTAATAATATTTTTAATTATTTTTTAACTTAAGTTTGAGTGTATGTTAGTTCAGTATTATGGGAGTCTCAGAATAGTGATTATTGTCTATTTGTGTACATTTTTGTTTTTAATGATATGGTCAGTGGACTAATCAATAAACTTTGCTTTGCTTAAGGCAGATATCACAATCCACCACCATTTCCAAATACATATCAATATTTGTTTTCATAATGTTCTTATCTATTCCACCTTTATCTCCCATTTGTGTCTATCGATTTTTCACCCCGCTCCCCCTGGCAACAGTACTTGTCTTCATTCAAATATTTTAATTGAACAATCGTGGAAAGAGAATGTTTCGGCTCTTTATATCTTTCTTTTCCTTCGACTTTTTCTATCAGTCTTCCCCATTTCTGAATCCAGGTCTTCTTGATGTATAGTTTAACTTCTCCCCTAATGTTATCCCCGTGGTGGTCTGTATTTCTTTTAACTCTTTCAGAGTCAGATTTTTATGTAATATTTAAGATTTTTGTATGTTGATAGCTGTGAAGTCTCAGCCTAGTTTTTGCCCCTTTGTTTATTTCCCTAGAGGTGGACTGTTCCATTCTGCTTAGTTTTAGGGTAGGAGCTTAGGATCCCCCTAGAGCAGGGGTAGGGAACCTTTGGCCCTCCAGCTGTGGTGGACTTCAACTCCCACAATTCCTTGAGGCTCGGCATTCGCCCCAAAGGCTTACCTTGGCCCAATGCCGAGCCTCAAGGAATTGTGGGAGTTGAAGTCCACCACAGCTGGAGGGCCAAAGGTTCCCTACCCCTGCCCTAGAGGCTGAGCTCTGTTGGTTCAGCCCATTCTGGCTCAGCCTGGTGGAAGGACCTTTTATTCCATTCTAATTGGACACAGCTTGTAGTAGTTAGCCAGAAAGTGTCTGGTCTGGCTTAGCAGTCTGAACAGGCAATCCTTAGTACGTACATGCCTCAGAGAACAAAGAGATTAGTTGTATTTGCCCAAAGAGTATACAAGTATTTGCCTCATAGATTTGAATGCATTTGCTTCAGAGACCAAAGTTTAAAGATGTACATGCCAGAGACCTAAGTAGTATATGTCCCAGAGTTTATATAGAATACTTATCTCATAGAACATAGTTTTGTATAGAATATAGTTTTGAATATAGAATATAGTTTTGTTCTATACCGGCCTTCTCACCTCGCTGAGGTGAGAAGGCCGGTATAGAAAACTTATAAATAAATAAATAAATTTGTTATTTACCTCAAGAGTTGTACTTTATACCTGTACCTTACTATTCTGATTCTATACCATCAAGAATCAAACCACACTTTTGTATACCTTGTTTTGATTCACCTTGATTGTTCAATAAACCTAATTGGTTAAATTTAGTCTTGTCTCTAGAGTTTTATTTTTGGGGGAATTAAAGTAAATACAGGGCATACCGATGGTCACTGGGAAAATAGCCGGACACATAGTTTTCTCATCAAACCTTCCCGGTGTGCCATCACAATAGCCAACCCTGATAAGTTCTCAAATTTCTGTATAGTATTAATAACTTTTATAGTTATAGATTGCTCCGGTGACTCTACTAAAACCATGGCATCTGCAAATAAATTAATTTTCATTACTTCTGTCCCAATTTTAGGTCCTTTAATTTTGACATTATTTCTAATAAAATTTGCTAAGGGCTCTATTGCCAAAGTGAAAAAGATGGGGGAGAGGGGCAACCTTGTTTCGTCCCACTTTTAATCTTAATATTATTATTATTATTAACTTTATTTGTACCCCGCTAGCATCTCCCAAAGGACTTGATGCGGCTTACAAAGGCCAAGGCCTCAATACACAGCATAACAATACAAACCTAAAGCAAATTAAAAACAATTAAAGCAATATTAAACAACAAAAACAACAAGCAATAACAATACACCAAAACACAATAAAACCGGGCCGGGCCAGAGTAAAGGGTAAAGAATTAAAAGTGCTGATGTGACAGGTGATATGTAGGGATTACATAGTTCTTGTTTTAGTTCCATTGATCAATAATTGCACTTGATCATCTTTGTAAAGTTCCTTCATTACGGAACTCTCCCCCCAGATTAGAGTCTTTGCAGACTTGATGGAGATATTGGTGATTAACCGTGTCAAATAACAGGAGTTTCTCTTTTTCTCTTGTAGTTTCGTTAATTACATTAAGTATATTTTTATTGGGTCTGCTAGTCTTCAATTTTTAATAAAGCCATATTGGTCTTCACCTATTATATTTGGAATTGTATCTGTCAACCTGTTCGTGAGTTTTGTGAAGATTTTATGGTCTACATTACATAGGGTAATTGGCCTATAAGAATTGGGGTTGGTCTCACTTTTATTGGGTTTATTTATTTATTTATTTAGACCATTTCTACCCTGCCCTTCTCACCCCCGAGGGGGGACTCAGGGCGGCTAACACAGGCAACTATTCAATGCCAACAGTATCAAAACAATATAAAACAGCAATATAAAATCCATTACATAACAATTAAGCAGTGATATTAATTTCAAATTACATAACCACATAGAACAGATCACAGAATCACAGGTCATAAAGCCATTTCCAATTTTCAAACAATCCTATTGTCCGAGTTCAGTGTCTAAAGTGCTGTTGTGCCCACTAGCCAAAGGCCTGGCTCCAAAACCACGTCTTTAGTTTTTTCCTAAAAGTAAGGAGGGAGGACGCTGATCTAATCTCGCTGGGGAGCAAATTTCATAAGCGGGGGGTCACTACCGAGAAGGCCCTGTCCCTCGTCCCCACCAGATGTGTTTGAGACGCTGGTGGGACCGAGAGCAGGGCCTCCCCAGTAGATCTTAAATTATGAGGTGGAACGTAGAGAGAGAGAAGTTCGGATAAATATGCTGGGCCGGAGCCGTATGCTGGGCTGGAGCTGTTTATGGTGATTGTGTTGATGTGAGAACTGTGCATCCTTGGGCGAGTAAGTTTAAAGATGTTGAGGTGGGAACATCTGATTTGGACGTCCTGTGACAGCAACCACCGAGTTTCACAAGCAAGAGGTTGACAGATTGATTCAGGACAATCATCGTATCACTCAGAAATTTCAAGCATAATCCACATTTCACAAGAACGTGTCAGTCACATTATTGCTTTGCTTGGCTATCAGAAGATCTGTGCACGATGGATATATTGAGAGAACTGTGGGACGCTACTTGCGGAAACTCAACTTCTTCCGTGACGGCTTCAGAAAACTTGTTCATCGTTGGCAGAAATGTATCCAATTGTCTGGTGATTATGTAGAAAAGTGAATAGTGGTACTTAAAGAGCGCATTCTAAGGATTATTTCTGCGTTTGATTTATTAAAATATTCCCATCCAAACCCAAGTAATGAAGGTGGAAGCATTACTTTTCACTCAACCCTTTAAAATGAGTGCAGTGCACACAGTGATGGCCTTTTGGGTGAGTGTAGTAGTAACCTTGTGAGGAAATGAAAGCCTTGTCAAGTCATTCTTGCTCAGATAGGCTTTTGTATTGAAAAATGGAAATTACCAGGGAAATTTCCATGGGTGGAGTGGGCCCTTTGGGGAGTTAGTGTGGTGTAGTGGTTTTAAATGGAGACTAGGAGTCTTTTCAGGTAAAGACAATCCCTCCCAGCAAATGTTGCCATGAAGTCTATGGTGGGTTTGCCTTAGGACTGGTGGGGTGATGTACTACCATATTTGCAACTATTGTGAACTAGCTTGTATGCACTCTTCGTCCAACTTACGTATATGTGCAATTGTGTCAATTTAAACTACATTATTCCTGCATCGGCAATGCAAAAAATACAGTTGGAAGAAGGAAAAGAATTAGATGCATGCTCTCTATGAAGTTGTGGAGTTTTTTGGAATGGAAATTTGTGACAAAATTAGTAAGCAAAACGGATTATTGTGAACTTGAGAAACACTGCTTTTTTTCTTAAGCTGCCATGTTTGGCAGCATGATTTATTTTGTGTCCAGCATTGCATAAATAAGTATAAACATGATAAAATAAGAGGGAACACAAGCTGCTAAATAATTTAGACCAAAAACGTGCAACAGCGACTGCATTTTTTACCTTTTGTTCTGGTACAGCTGTACTAGGAGCTCCAATTTTGTTTGCTTTGCATTGAATGTTTGTTTGCAGTCCTAAGTTTCAGGGACTCTGCAGATAGCTGACTTCTTTTGGTTGCAGTTATAGGGCAAGCCACCTGTCCATCATCGTTGAGTTTGGTCCTGCCCCTTGTTCAGGGCAATTGGGAAGGGAAGGGAGCCATTTTTCAGTTAGTCCCAGCTAGGAAGTCAATGTACAGGACGTGTACAGACTTTCTCCTGTACAAAGGCTTCAACCCTTAAGACTTCCCGGGGGAGAACAGTCTTAAGAGCATCTAAAGATTCCCAAAGGTTCCAGGGAAACAGCCTTACAGCCCTGAGGAATCTCGGAGGGAATAACAGCTTTAAACATCAAGAACTCCAGCTAAGTGACTACAGGCCTGCTGGTACGTCCACTCAGTTTTGAGACGCAGTTCAGCCCGGTAGTGGATCCACATCAGTCACGTTTAGGTTCACAGCCTGGGTGGAGCTAGAAAGGGATTTTCCTTGGAAGTAAAGCAAAGAAACAAGCCACCAGTTGCTTGAAGCCTGGAAGTATTTGTTTAATCTTTGAAGACAAAAGAAGTTTCTCTTTGATTGTTCATCAATAAAAGACTTTGTTGTATTTAAGCTCAAGCCTTCTAAAGACTGTTTAATGGGGGAAAATTCTCTAAGGGCTTCTTTTCGGGCTTCCCGTTGGGCTAAAGTTGCACGTCCTGTTTTAAAGGCACTTCGTTTCAAGCCCAGCGGCGACAGAACACTTTTAAACAGTTCTTCCTCTGTGCATGAGGCAGGGCACAGTGGGCAAGCATGCAGATGCTGAGTTGTTTGATCTGCTCTGCAAGGTAAAGGATTCTTCTAGGATGGTAGTGCCATTTAGCCAGGTTGGCATCATGATCTTTTCATGTCAAAAGTAACGAGAAACTTAAGTTGCTTCTGGTGTGACAGAATTGGCCATCTGCAAGGACGTTGCCCAGGGGACACCTAGATGCTTTGATGTTTTTTACCATCCTGTGGGAGGCTTCTCTCATGTCCCCACATGAGAAGCTAGAGCTCAACAAACGGAAGCTTACCCCGCCAACCTGTAGGCCAACCTCACCTGCCAGCACAAGCGTTTAACCCATTGTGCCATCGGGGACTCCGGCATCATAATGAGGCAACAGGAATAGATTGGTTATTATATTGTTGAAATGTGTACATAACGACCACTAAACGCAGCATTGCCTAAACACGAATCAAGAAACATGTAAGGCACTGCAGGCCATTTCAGCCAGAGAAGTCAGCCATAGAAGAGCACCTGATGAACCAACCTGGACATAGAGTATTTGAGAACACAGCAATGCTGGACCAACAACTGCCATGTCAGACTACACAGAGAAGCCACTGAAATCCACAAGCACATTGACGGTTTCAACAGAAAGGAAGAAACCATGAAAATGAACAAAATCTGGCTCGCAGTACTAAAAAACTAAAATCAGGACAGTAAATAAAGGTAAAAGGCTTTCCCCTGACATTAAGTCCAGTCGTGTCCAACTCTGGGGGTTGGTGCTCATTTCCGAGGGAAAGAGCCGGCGTTGTCCATAGATAACTCTACAGTCATGTGGCCGGCATGACTGCAATGGGACACTTATCTTCCTGCTGGAGCGGGACCATTGATTTACTTGCATTTGCATGTTTTTGAACTGATAGGTTGGCAGAAGCTGAGGCTAACAGTGGGAGCTCATCCTGCTCCCCACATTCGAACTTGTGACCTTTCTATCAGCAAGTTCAGCAGCTCAGCGGTTTAACCCACTGTGCCACTGGGGGCTCCATAGTAAATAAACAGCAACACTCAAAAAGCAGGGGAATTCCAGACAGGAATATATCAGGGCCAGCTAACACCTGCCAACAAAGGGTTACCTTCAGGCAGCAACTGGCCAGGCTTTGAAACTACAGGCCATTAAATGCTAAACAAGGTGGCAAATTGCAGCATTCACACATACCTCAAGCAGGGAAGAGTTTTCCCCTTTCCTGGACATTCCACAGATGCATAAACCTCACTTGCCTAGTTTCCAACAGACCCCTCAACCTTTGAGGATGCCTGCCATAGATGTGGGTGAAACGTCAAGAGAGAATGCATCTGGAACATGGCCATACAGTCTGGAAAACTCACAGCAACCCACAAATTTACTGTTTGTTTTATACATGAATTGGCTCCCGATAGAAATCTACTACTGATAGCAACAAAATTGTTTTGCATGTGCCTGATTTAACATTTTTTAAAAACCAGACAACAGTATAAATAACCAGTAGATGTTCTAGGTCAGAGATGGGGGGAGGGGAGAGGGAACGGGGCAAAGAAATTAAGAGCAACTACTTTTCTAAAAAAATTTATTCCATAAAATCTTGATAGGAAGGCTGATATACAACGCAATGATTTCATCTACAGAGATTTTGTACACCATCTAGAATCAGCAGTGTCCCCACCTCTTGGTCTACAACAGTAGCTTCTCTCCTTGCACTTTGTGGAAGAGATCCGTGCCACCCACATCACAGCTCGAGTACACAAAAGGGGTGAGGGAAGAGGGGCAAACACAGAGCAAGAGGTCAGTCAAAGGAGGGATGGAATGAGAATGCAAAGGTGTGAAGGCAGCCCATAAGGTTGGGATGTCTTGGACCCATGGTCTTGCATGGAAGATGACCAGAGACAATGGTTTCATAGGAGGCAGAACTCTACCAAGTAGAAGCTTTTAGCAGCTTGAATTGTTTTCCATTAGTCTCCACTAAAGCACTAGTCATGACCAACTTCAATTTAAATCCAGTTGGTCCAAAACCAGGGGGAAGTTATGGCTATACACTAGGCATGGTCCAACTTCGGCCCTCCCTTCAGATGTTTTGGACTTCAACTCCCACAATTCCTACTGTTAGGAATTATGAGAGTTGAAGCCCAAAATACCTGGAGAGCCAAAGTTTGCCCATGCTTGCTATACACACATTTGTGACTTCGTCTCTTCCCAGTTTGGCCAAGGAAAGAGGATTGTGGAAGGCCAAACATTCCTAGCTCCAAACCAGTAGTTCTCAACCTGGGGTCCCCAGATGTTTTTGGCCTACAACTCCCAGAAATCCCAGCCAGTTTACCAGCGGTTAGGATTTCTGGGAGCTGAAGGCCAAAAACATCTGGGGACCCCAGGTTGAGAACCACTGGTCCAAACAAACTCAATGGTTACTGAACATCCATTTTAAGTGTCGCGGTTGCCAATGGTTGGTCCTCCAGATCTTGCCAACATCCACTTCCCAAATCAGAAACACTGGCCAGGCTGAATGGGCTTCTAAGAACTTGGAAGTTTAGAACATCTGGAGGGCCAAAGACGGAGAGCCACTATTCCATGCATTTCATGAAGGAAATACAGTAGAGTCTCGCTTATCTGACATAAACGGTCCAGCAGAACATCAGATAAACGGAAATGTTGGATAATATGGAGTCTCCTACTGTTACCCATCCAATGCGGCGTTAGACAGCACGGACTCAAAGGGTTAAGGTGAGGCAACACCTCGGGGTGAGAGTGGCCCAGCAAGAAGTGCCTAGATGAGGAAGAGGAGCGTGGAAATCACAGAGGGAAGGAGGGAGGACATTTCCGCTTCCAGTCCTGCCTCTTTTCCCCCTTTGCTTTCTCCTCCTCCTCCGTGTCTTGCCTTTTTCCCTTATTGGGAATGGTGAGAGAGTTGGAGAGCGCTCCTTTAATTGAAGGGGAGATGTTGGCGGAAAAGGGGAGCGTCAGATAAGATGGAATATCGGATAAGTGAGACTCTACTGTAGACACCTTTTCCATTCTAGCCATCCTGTTTGGCCACTAGCGAGGCAGCAGCAGCACAAATACATAAAGGCCTCTTCTCAAGATAAGAAAGCATAGAATGGTTTTGGACATTTTCTTCACTTCTATATGCACTGGGTTGTTGTGAGTTTTCCGGGCTGTCTGGCCATGTTCCAAAAGCATTATCTCCTGACGCTTCGTCTGCATCTATGGCAGGCATCTGCAGAGGTTGTGAGGTTCTCACAATCTCTGAGGATGCCTGCCATAGATGCAGGTGAAATGTCAGGAGAGAATGCTTCTGGAACATGGCCATATAGCCCAGAAAACTCACAACCACTCAGTGATTCCAACCATGAAAGCCTTTGACAATACCTATATTCATAGGCTAGCATTCACGTTCAACAAGTGAGACCAACAGAAGAGAGAAGAAATGCAGGCTCTATTGTATCCATACACCCACCATATTCTTCCATTATGTCTTCCTCTGAATCCATAAAATCAGGTAATGGAGATGCCCTCTCGCCTGTTTTTTTTTTTTTTTTACCAAATCGGTTGAAGCCCTTTAAAATCGTAATAAATTTAGGACTGTCAATCAGTTTTACTATCTAATTTGTAAAAAGACAAATTCCAGTTTAGTTTCAGAAGGAAGAAATAACGAGAGTAGATTCTTTGCCGCTGCTTCCTGAAGGAATATGTTACAGGCTTTGTGATTCCTGTTACACAGGCCTGAATGTTAAGTGAAAGAAACAGAAACAAGGCCTCTCTCAGCAGGAGGCTTTTGTCATCCATCGTATTAAAAAAAACGTAAAAACATTTCTCCGCAAGACGTAGATATGCAAGTCCTCCACAGGATGACGTAAAACCAGTCAGTAGTGATTCTGTGTATTATGTACATTAAAGACAAACAAACAGAAAATCCCCAAAGATCTCTATTAAAGTGTCCAATTTCCTGCTAATATAACATATTTAAGTTGGTTTTGTACAGAGCAAATATATCTGCATACAAGCCTCCTTCCCACCAGCTCCAATATTATTTCACTTCCTCGAGGTGGGGAAAAGGGATGTTAAATGGACCTGTCCCTATTATTTACAGCAGAACAGAAGAAAAGGGGCACTGTCTACACATATGTTGGAACTGTCCAGGACTAATGTGAGCCAGAACCCCTGGCTACAAATTTAAAAAAAGGAATATTGCTGTATCGTCTGAGGCACAGAGTTTCGTGTTTGCTTTTCTTGTGTGATGTGATGGCACTTGAGGCAAACTCCTCCCAACAAAAGGCTTCTTTTGGGCAGGATTCTGCCCTCCCCTTCTCCATTCCTTGGAGAAGGAAGCGTCATTTCCTGGATATGTTATCAAGGCAAATCTTAAGCAAGCCTCAAGTCCTTTTTTTGACTTGGAAGAAGAAAGCAGTGAGCATTCCAAAGTTTCTCCTCTTCTGGCATTTTCTGAAACATTCACGGCCGATGATATCTGGAACAGAGAATAAGTGTTGGAAATAAGTGTTGGAATAAGTGTTGGAACAGAGAATAAGATTTTAAGTATTACATTTGGCCCTGCCACAGGTCTTAATGCATCGCGGTGTTATTGTTAATGTTTTTTGCTTTGTTTATGAGTTATTGTTGTTGTTGTTGTATTGTTGCTGTGTTTTACTGATGTATTTGGGCTCGGCCTCTTGTAAGCCGCACCGAGTCCTTCGGGAGATGGTAAGGTAAAGGTAGTCCCCTGACATTAAGTCCAGTCATGTCTGACTCTGGGGTGTGGTGCTCATCTCCATTTCTAAGCCGAAGAGCCAGCGTTGTCCATAGACACCTCCACGGTCATGTGGCCGGCATGACTGCATGGAGCGCCGTTACCTTCCCGCCGGAGCGGTACTTATTGATCTACTCACATTTGCATGTTTTCGAACTGCTAGGTTGGCAGAAGCTAGGGCTGACAGCGGAAGCTCATGCCGCTCCCCGGAATCGAACCTGCGACCTTTCGATCAACAAGCTCAGCAGCTCAGTGCTTTAACCCACTGCGCCACCGGGGGCTCCTTTCGGGAGATGGTAGCGGGGTATAAATAAAGGTTTATTATTATTATTATTATTAACCCTTCTACAAGCCTCCTATACTAGTTATTTGTTATGTATATAATTCAGATTGCTTACTATATTGTATGCATATTTTGATATGCAGTTTTCCTCTTAACTCTATGTTGTTTGAGGTTGTGGGAGGGACTACAGACCATGTGACCAGATCCGGGACTATTCAGCTTGAGACTCTATTTTAGAAATCAGTTGTGTTTGCATCAGAAGCAGCATAATTTATGAAGTCAGCAGTGTTAATATGCAGTAGTCAGTGAAAGTATGCTGAAGTGCAGCGTTTCTGAACCTGGGGGTCAGGACCCCTTTGGGGGCTGCGAGGGGGGGTGTCAGGAGTCGCCAAAGACCATAAGAAAACAGGAGGCCCCAGTGGCGCAGTGGGTTAAACCCCTGTGCCAGCAGGACTGAAGACCAACAGGTCGCAGGTTCGAATCCGGGGAGAGGCGGATGAGCTCCCTCTATCAGCTCCAGCTCCTCTCAATATTTACAACTGTTTTTGGTCAGAACAACCAACCCAATTTTCAAACTTGTTGGGAGCATGCAAGACATCAGTGAGTGTGTGCATGTGTCAACTATAAAATAAGATGCATGAAGCTGATTGGTTGGGCAATGCCTGGGGAGAGGGCTGAGCCTGGAACTTTTGGTTACTGTTACATTTTTGTTCAGGCTTGAGCTATGCAAGTGCTCAAAGAGAAGTAGAGAGAGACAGTTTGGAGTGTGCTCTTGCTTCATGAGCTGCTGAGAAAGATTCTCCACATGGACAAAGAAAGACTATTTGAAATCTCTTATAACAGGGGACATTATGCAAGTCAATGTAACCAGTCACAGGAATGTACATATGTTATTCCAAATTATGAAGCGTAAACTACTTGTTCTTTATTGAACATCTACATGGCATATTTTCTTTCTCTGGCAAGACAAGATGTGGACTGAGCAAACATGAACTACACGTGGTTTATTTGACACTACACCACAAAACTGTCTTATTTTCTTTCTGAGGAGAATCTACACTTAGTCTGCTGCAGAGACAAATTCATCATAAGAGAGATCTTTTTATCTCCTTGTCATGGCGATGAATTTACCTACATTCCCTGACTGCCTCTCTTTTACACTCGTCACTCTACTCCTCCTGCTTCCATCTTGGAATTTAATCCCATTCAACCAAACTTATTACATAATCAAGTTTTATCGTGCTCTAATTTAGTTTAGGTAACTGATACAGGAGTTTTAAGATAGTGATTAGAGTCTATTTGCCTGTGTATTTTCGTCTTTTGTTGATACGGTGAGTGGGCTATATGGTCAGATCCATCTATCTATCCTAACAGACAGAGCCATTGGGAACAGGGATTAAGTTCTGCTTGAGGTTAGTGCTGGCAAAGTGGTGGCTCGCAGATCAATGCCCATTCACACCAATTAAACATCCCATGCTGATGACAGTTGCTTCCATCCCACTGCATAACACAGGCATGGGCCAACTTTGGCCCTCCCTCCAGGTGTTTTGGACTTCAACTCCCACAATTCCTAACAGCCTCTGTTAGGAATTGTGGGAGCTGAAGTCCAAAACATCTGGAGGGAGGGATGAAGTTGGCCCATTCCTGGTATACTAGCTGCCATTCTAACATGGCTTCTGGTAAAAAAAAAAAACAAAGCAGGCTGGTGCTCTTCATACATACCGTGTGAACTGTTTGCTGTCCTCGTGGACTTCCATTTCAGAGCTTTTGAACTCATTTAGTTCCTTCCGAATTGCCGCCTGGGGGAGAGGTCAAAGAAGCCCCATCAGCTCAAGTGTCAACAGGCAGGCAGCCCTCGCCCTTCTCCAATACTTTCAACCCACTTAGCTTTACTTCCTATCATATCTAGTCGGGGCGATCCTTCTTTGAGCCATTGTATGGTGTTTCCTCTCTAATGCTCTCTGATTAGGAGCCAGAACCAGCAAGGAAAGGATGGGGAAGCTGTCAGGAAGGACATTATTTTAAGCAGAGGACATTTAATAGTCAGTGTTGATGTAGAGATTGTCTGGTTTGCCTACTCTGGAACATGCCACATATCATTGTCCTTCTTTAGAGGTCCCTTTGAAATCTATGATACTATATCTGGCATATATATGAGTGTGTGTGAATCATATCTATTTATCTATATCTATGGCTGGATGGCTCTATCTCAGGAGGGCTTTGATTATGTTTTCTTGCCCTGGTGAAGAGACCTGGACTGGATGGCCTTAAGGCAGCATTTCTCAACCTGCGGGTCATGAGGGGTGTCAGAAGGGTCACCGAAGACCACCAGAAAACACAGAATTTTTCTGTTCGTCATGGGGGTTCTGTATGGAAAGTTTGGCCCAATTCTCTCATTGGTGGGGTTCAGAATGCTCTTTGATTATAGGTGAACTATAAATCCCAGCAAATACAACTCCCACATGTCAAGGCCTATTTTCCTCAAACTCCACCAGTGTTCACACTTGAACATGTTAAGTATTCGTGCCAAGTTTGGTCCAGATCCAACACTGTTTGAGTCTACAGTGCTCTCTGGATGAAGGTGAACTACAACTCCAAAACTCAAAGTCAATGCCCACCAAACCTTTCCAGGGTTTTCTGTTGTTCATGGGAGTTCTGTGTGCCAAGTTTGGTTCTATTTCATCGTTGGTGGAGTTCAGAGTGCTCTTTGATTTTAGATGAACTATAAATCCCAGCAACTACAACTCCCAAATGACAAAATCAATTTCTTTGCGTGATGGTCACTTGTTGGCCTAATAGGCGTATTGTGTCCAAATTTGGTATCAATTCACCCAGTGGTTTTTGAGTTATATTAATCCCACAAACGAACATTACATTTTTATTTATATAGATAGTTAAATGATGCTGACTAAAAATATATAAACGGAAGATAAAACAGAGTTGATGGACAAAACTGCTTTCAACATTAAGGCAAAGGTTAAATATTTGGGTTGTGCAGACCTGACATAGAATATAGAGCAGGCATGGCCTGGGCTGTAGCATAGCTGGTTAATCGCCAGCAGCAATAGAACATTGCTGACCGGAAGGTGGCAAGTTCGAAGCCCAAGTCGGATTGCATACCCGACCATAAGTTCACTGTCCAGCTAAGCGGTTCAAAAAAAGTGAGTAGAGAAATTAGGTACCACTTTAGTGGGGTATTTTACGACACCATAAAAAAGCTGGTAATCAAAGAAGAAGAGGAAAAGTCTGTGATCAAAAGGGCTCGGCATCATAGTGGATGGAGCAACACGACAGCACCCCCCTGTAGACGGAATCAAGCACAACCTCCAGGCACCAAAGTTGGAAAATGCCAAAATACCTCTATCGGTCTGTCTGTATTGTATTATTTATTATTTATTTGCAGTATTTATATTCTGCCCTTCTCACCCCGCAAGAGACTCAGGGCAGATTACAATGCATATATACATGGCAAACATACAATGCCATTTAGACATACAACATATATATACATAGAGGCAATTTATTCCAGCTTTTCCAGCCTCATGAGGGTATGCTTGGTTCCGGCCACAGGGCGAGCTGCCACTTCACCGTCCACTTGTGATATGGGGTCTTTTGATGGAGTACTTCCTCATTCTTCTGCATGCTGCTGGTTTTATGGCGTCGTAAATTAGTTAAATTAGCCTCTCCACATAAAGCGGTACCTACATTTCTTACTTGACAGATGCAACTGTCTTTTGGGCTGCATAGGTCGACAGCAAGCTAGATTATTAATGGTTGGGAGCATACTCTGACCCAGGCTGGCTTCGAACTCATGACATCTCGGTCAGTAGTGATTTAATGCAGCTGGATACTAACTAGCTGCGTCACAGCCCGATCCTGTATGTCTAAAACAACACTGAATATTTGTATGTGTGCATTGTGATCCACCCTGAGCCCCCTTCAGGGTGAGAAGGGCAGAATATAAATACTGTAAATAAATAAATAATGACTAAATCTTGGCTCTCCCTCCAGGTGTTTTGGACTTCAGCACCCACAATTCCTAACAAAACACCGGGAGGGAGGGCCAAAGTTGGCCCATACCTGATACAGAGCCATGTGTTCATCTTCTCCCCTTCAATACAGGAATGGAAGACAGATTTGCTTGTTTCTTACGTGATGGGGGCACAGGAGGCAAATGGGGCCTCGGCAATAACATTAAGACCACATGGGCTGCATGCTGCCTGTCTTTGGACTCCCAAGAATTCTCTTCCCAAGAATTCAAAGGGGAAAAGTGGGATTTCAAGGGGATACAAAGTGACATCATGTGAACTTATCCTGAAAAAGTGGGCTGTGTTGAGAAAATGGGAGATCTTTGGCTGGGTAAAGCCGGCAGAGCTGCAAACAGACAGGGTGTATTGGGATATTTGAGTGTAGTGAAACGAGATGAAGAACAGGGTATGTCTTACCTTGTCAGCAGGGGTTAGCTTTGTCCACGGCTTATCGGCTCGTCTGTCATAGTCTTGGGCGTCTGTCACCTCCACATATTCGTGAAATCTCAGAATCTTCCTGGCTTGAAGTTCGGCCACAGTCGGCCTTTGACTAAGCTGAAAGGCAGAGAGAAATGATGTCATATGAGCCAGACACATAGTCTGCTATGCATGGCCCTTACACTATGGCAGTGTTTACTCCGTTTCTTTGCCCCAGTAAATATAAACAGCCAGTAGGCTGTTAGGAATTGTGGGAATTGAAGTCCAAAACACCTGGAGGGCCCAAGTTTTCCCATGCCTGATCTACACAGATATTTAAACCCAAAGTGGAGGGAGCGAGCAAGCCAGCTCCATGGCCTCTACATGATGTACAGAATAGATGTGGGTTAAACGTAATGCAAACGAAGGCAATTTACAAAAAAAATCCACATGGTTTGTGTTTTCCGATGACCTCTCTATTGTCATATATCACACACACCTGGACTGCAGTGCCCCACCCACACATAGCACGTTTCAATGGTCGCTACCCCAAATATTGGAGGTGGAAGCACACTGCACTTGCCCTATAATACCACCTGTCACATCAGCACTTTTTAATTTCTGTACCCTTTTACTCTGGCCCGGCCCAGTTTTATCTTGTTGATGTACTGTTTATTGCTTGTGGTTTGTTGTTTTAATACTGCTTTAATTGTTTTAATTTTGCTTTAAGTGTATTGTTGTGTTGTGTATTGAGGCCTTGGCCTTTGTAAGCTGCATCGAGTCCTTCAGGAGATGCTAGCGGGGTACAAATAAAGTTTAATAAAAATAATTAATAATAATGGAAGCCATAGCAACGGGTCAATACCTTTCTGGTCAGCCTCCGTTTTATCTCCCGTTTTTCAGCCTGACGATCAGCCTCATTTTTTTCTGCGAAGAACCAAGAAAAGAGAACTTAAGTGAAGTTAAAAATGGCTTCCGATTCCCAACACAGTTTCATATAAATAAATAAAAACTGAAACACATTGTCAGTGATATGTATTGGATGTGTATTGATGTGTATTGGCTATGGTATACGATTTCTGGATCATGGGATTTTAATGTTTATATTAGGATGATTTGATGGTTTGTCTGAATGTTTAAATTTTATGTATGTCTTATGTTTAATGGTTTCAACTGATTTTAAGTTCATAGTTAAATGTAGTAATAGGTTATTATGATTTATTTGTGTACTGTATGTTGGCATTGAATTTTTGCCATGTTGTAAACCGCCTTGAGTCCCCCCAGGGGTGAGAAAGGCAGTATATAAATACAGTAAATAATAATAATAATCTATATAAATAAAAATGTAAATGTCAGTTTGTGAATGACCTCAAATCTTCCAAAATACTTCACCTATTGCTTTGAAATTTTGACACAACGTAGCATTTGAACAGGCACATGCGTTTATGTATTCACATACCAACTGTTACATAGATGTCACACCTGTGACAGGAAAAAACATGCTTGGCATCAAAAACAGCGCCATCTGATGGACATCCAAGCAACACATTGCAAATCGACCTCGTTAGGATCCGCCATTATGGATCCGCGGCCTGGTGGACCCCCACCGAGCCTGCCTGCCTGCCTCCCTCCGGAGGAGAACCAGGAGACGAAGAACGGGAAAAGTCGGTGGGGGCAGGTAGGGAAATCCAGGCCAGCGATTGGGGCAGGGCACGTGCCCAGGGGAGGGAAGGAGGGTGTGAGGCTCCCATAGCCTCACGCCCTGCCTGGCCTTGCCAGGCACCATCTCATGCCCACGCCTCCAGGAAGACTAGAGGCTCAGAAGGAAGGAAGGACTGAATGAGAGGAAAGGAGAGATAGATAGGAGGGAAGGGAAGGGTTTCCCCAAAACACACTGATCATTATTATATAGACCATTATCATTGCTATTATTATTATTATTATATACACCAGTATTATTATTATATAGATTATATAGGTCAGTATTATTATTTACACCGTTATTGTTTGTTTGTTTGTTTGTTTGTTTATTTATTTTGTACATTTCTACCCCGCCCTTCTCCCCATAAGGGGATTCAGGGTGGCCTATTATTATTATTATTATTATTATTATTATTATTATCTCACAAACAATGGAATAACAAAATATTGTATACCCACAAGCATTATGAAATTACATATATTAGAAATCAGCTCTTTCTCTTTTCTTTCTTTTCCATTTAACCAGACTGGGCCACAGCAACGCATAGACGGACACAACTAGTAAATAATACTGATTCAATTGTTTCTACAGGATTAGTATTTTTATAAAGAGTTTACTAGGAAAGTGGGGCATATAATTTCAGAATATATAAAAACATAATACATTCACACCATCTAGGTGTGAAAAGTAACTTAATGTGGTTGCTTGCTGCAACATTGAAAATGTACTGCTGCTCCTGGCTTTTCCGTTACCATGGGGTAGCCTCAGGACTGATAAGAGAATGCCTTAAAACTTCCTGCTAAAATGCCTCTAAAAGTGCCTTTAATTGATCTAAGAGCTCCTTTTGTAACTTGGAAATGTCACTAGTTCCAGTATATCTTTCTTCGACTCATGACATTCTTCTTAATATGTACTTCCATTATGACTTCTTAACTCAAATAGTATAATAAGTTGTTGTAACATTACTTTCACGCTCATCAACATTCATAATACATCTTTAATAGAATAAGAGCTCACAGCTCAGAAGGAATTGGAAAAATAAACCAATTTGAGTGGTCTATTTATTTTAGATCATTTCGAGCCTAACATAATCTTACAAAATTGTTCACAATGAATGCAGTTAGATGAGACTTAAGCTTGCCTTCTATCTAGTAACTCCTCGCTAAAACCACTGAAATACTTCCTACGTGTTGCTGACCTTGAAGACAGTCTTTAGCTACATTAGCTGGTTTTAAGGGTTTAAATTGTTGATTTTTAATACTATGAATATTTAATGCTGTTAAATTATCCTTTTAATTTAAAATTTGAATTATATTGTATTGGTTTTATCATGAGCCGCCTTGAGTCTGTTTTTCAGAGAGATAAATCTGGATACAAATAATAATAATAAACTAATCTGGGACTTCCAAATTCAGACTGACAGAGTTTTGGAGCACAAGACTCCTGTCCTCACGATCGTGGGGGGAACAAAAACAAGTATAGATCATCGATGTTACAATCCCAGGCAACAGCAGAATCGACGAGAAGCAACTGGAAAAGCTTATATGATATGAGGATTTAAAGATCGAACTGCAATGACTCTGGCACAAGCCTGTCAAGAGGGTCCCAGTGGTGATCGGCACACTGGGTGCAGTGCCTAAAGACCTTGGCCTGCACTTAAAAATAATTGGTACTGAGAATATCACCATCTGTCAGGTGCAAAAGGCCACCCTATTCGGATCTGCACACATTATTCACCAATGCATCACACAGTCCTAGACACTTGGGAAGCATCCAACATGTCATCAAATACAAAAGCCAGCATAGTGATCTTGTTTGCCGTGTACTCATCTTGTTACCTGTCTGATAATAATAATAATAATCATAATGTATCAAGAGGATTCATTGCCTCTGTGCACATCCTGCCAAGTCATTTATCCCTCTTTCATCCAAATGCATCTATAAGATATTAAAGTATTGAGGTCCCTGGGAATTCAAATTTAAATAGTCCATGAAAGTCACAGGCATGGCGGCAAAAAGACTGCACGTCGGGAGCAGCAGATGCAACCTATACTCTGTACTTGGAATAATGACCAAAGACAATAGTTTGCACCTAGAAAACAATAAAACCACATATTGCAGATAATTTGGACAGTAGTTCCAAGCGGTAATTCAAACAGCTGTTACTCACGTTGGAGTATATTCCTTTGCTCCAGTTCTTCTGGTGTTGGCCTCTGACTTAGCCGCCTGATTTAAAAGAAAGAGGAGAAAAACACAGTTAAAGCACTTGCTGTAATATGGTGGCTTCTGTTCAAAATATGAACCAATTTATTGTCGCTCTCCAGTCTGATATACATGAGTCTGTCCTAATATAGTTATCCCAATGGCCACTTCATTAAAGTGCCAGAAATTGTTTCTGTGTTGTGCCTCAGTAATCTGTTTTACATTACACATCATATCTCACAGTTTAGAGTTCAAATGAAAAGGTATAGAAGTATATATATGTACAAACAAAAATGTAAACACAGATACATATACATACACATGTTAAATTCTTGTTATCAAAAATAAATAGTTGTTTGCATCAAAAAAGCACTTGCTGTAATTGTAAGGAAACAATGCAAATCATAAGCTTTAAGAATCTTTTGGGGTAAAGCAATAGCTATGAAAGTTTTTAAAAACCTAGCATATAATCTGCATATATGTTAATTAGATGCTTCTCAACATATCTGAAACCTTTGATTTGCGGACATTTCCAAAGGATTTCAGCTAATGGTTCCTTTTTATGCAAAACCCATTGGCATTTTTTTTTGCCACCGCATGACATTGTTGGCTCATGTTCACCTTCCTCCCCACGAGGACTCCAATATCTTTTTCACATGTTCTGCTCTTGAGCCCGGCATCGTCCTCCATTCTGTATATCTGCATTTCATTTTTTTCTGCCTACGTGGAGTATCTTGCTTATGTCACTGCTGAACTTTATTGTGTTAGCTTTGACCAATCATCTCTATAACACTGTTCTACAAATTTTCAGTTTTTCTCAGTTGCAGAAACGAAATGTGCAGTTTCTTAATAAATTTAACATGCTGAATTCAAATATAATAATTAAATGTATTAATTGGCTCTGGTTTTTATGCAACAGCTATTTCAATTTTCTCCACAATAGGTAATTCATTAATATTATGATAATGCGCCTAACCTTACTGCATGTATATAAACCATGAATATTTACTAAATTTTAGTCAAATTATATTGCCAATAGTTTATACATGAGAAATATTTATTTAATTAGTCTATTGTTTATGTTTGTGCAGCAAGAAACTATATTAGTAGGCCTAATGCAGTTGAAAAGTCTGAAAGTTTAAATGTCGCTTTAATCGTGACTTTAGTTTATATCCTGTTTGCTTCTCTTGACTTTTCTTTTGTATTCAAGGAAAGGATTGTCTCTTACAATGCTCCAGCAGTAGTCTGACAGCATTGACGGAGTCCATTGGCCTTGATATCTTTTTTCCATAGTGCTTTATTTACACACGTGCGAGGCATAACTACAGTAAAAAGAACAATGTAAAACGATGTTTAACGATACTGTCTCAGTCTTCAACTGACTGACCCTCACCGTTCAAGTCTGGCCTTATATAGGGCTTTCTGGCTTTTGCACACGGCACTAATACTGCGTCATCAAACTTTCTAGAGTATTCTAGAATCTTCCATAGTGTAAGCCGCAACATGCATTTTTTCAACCATATGTGATCACATGATTGCTTATATCATAAAAACTAGAGCCAATATACATTTTTAAATGTCATTTTTGTTTTCAACACCCCAAAATCATAAAAGAACAGCTATTTTCAGGCCCGCAACTTTCTAGAATCTTCCATAGTGTAAGTTGCAACATGCATTTTTTCAACCATACGTGATCACGTGATTGCTTATATCATAAAAACTAGAGCCAATATACATTTTTAAATGTCATCTTCATTTTCAACACCCCAAAATAATAAAATAACAACTATTTTCAGGCCCGCAACTTTTTCTACATTGAACAGTGTAATCTGTGAAGATTGTTTTGAATTCTGCTCCCGTCTGCACGCCTGCTCTCCCCTTCCTGCTTGGAGTCTCAGAAACAGCCCTTCCCTTGGCTGAGAGGCTGGCTGTAGTGAATCTTATCTAGTGGGCGGAAAGGAAGCCTGGATAACAGTATGGCAAACCTCCATTTTGGGAGTTTATGCTAGGGAAGCAGCCACCTTGAGTGAGGAGAGTTGGAAGATGGGAGGAGTTTGGAGTCTCCTAGGATTGCTGTGAGCTGACAAGAAAAGGGCCAGACAGCAATCGGATTTCTTGTGAGCATTAGCACAAGAGATTGTCTCTCCGGGCTGGGTTAATCAGCAGGAAGAACTCTAGGGAAGAGTTAGCTAATAGCCCAGGGACTACCTAGGATAGGTTAGTCAGAACTCATTACTATTTCTCTGAAGTAGGGTGAGGGTTTTTGTTGCCAACAGTGGGATCTTTTTGATTAGCTCTGTCTGTAACTAAGTGAAGAAACTTATTCAAGCAACCATCAAGCTGAATTACTTTTGTAACAAGTCATGCTTTTTGTATGTCTCGGAAGTAGTTTGTTGTCTGTTTTTTTATAAATAAATCTTATTCTATTTAACTTTCCAAAGATCTCTACTGTGCATCATTCTATCATCAAGCCTTTGTGATAATTCCAGCATTTTTAACATCTTGCTACTACAGAAAAGCCTCTTATCCAACATTCATCTTGGGAGCCAAGAAAAAGCAGTGTTGGCAGGAGTGGGAAAAGTTTACCTCAAATACTCATTTTAAAATCCTAAAACTACTTAGGTTGGTAGCAGCTTTAATCCGCAAGAAAGCTTAAAGACAAGCAGTGTTCACTCTACCAATACACATATCTAACATCATCTCGCTACCATATTGGAGGCACAGGGGTGGGATTTTGTGAAGAAAGAAAATCTCTGGGGAAGATCCATCCTGCCTAGCCATAATACTAATAAGCCTCCAGCCTTGTGTCACTGGCTGGGATATAATCCTTTATATTGGTGTCCAGTGGTGTGATATTATATATAATCCTTTACAGTGGAGTTCAGCTGTGGGGTATATTATACTTACTTTATTACAGTGGTGGCAAGTGGCATGATTTATAATACCATTTTGCTATACTGGCCAATCACAGAAGGGGGGCTTTTGGTGGGAGGATTCACCATCTGTTTCCAAAAAGGAAGAGGACAGCTACCTGATCAGTGTTGTTCCAATTTGCTGCCGAATTTCATTCCATTCTTCCTTGCTTTTCCGAGGAAATGTGTTCTCTGCTAGAGATTCACGCTGGGGGACCATACCACCCATTTTCATGGCCAGAGTATCTTTCCTTTTCACTTTATTGGCGAGTGCAGCTTGGGAGGGAGGGGAAGAGAAAGACAGAATTCATCACCAAACATAAAAAGATGGCTGCCCATCCTTTCAGGTCACATTATGACAGCTTATGGGCTGCAGGGTAAATCACAAATTATGACTTTAGCAAGGCCAACCAACAGCATGTTGGTGCCTGAAACCAAAAAGACACCAGCCCCAACTCCCATTCGCTGTTAAAAACCCTTTTAACTGGTAAAGGCACAGCATTTTTGGTTACACCTGAAGGCAAAAGGATAGCTTAGGAGGAGCCATGGGAGAATATACAGGAATTTCCTCTAACAACTTCCTGCTGCTTGAAAACAATGTCTCCTACGGCCACCTTAGTTTCCCTAATGACAGGGCTGTCAGAAATATTAAAAATTAATTAGGTATTTTTAATTATAAAAATGTGAGTCAAGTACTGAAAGGGTTAAACGGATGCACTGACTCACCTCTGTAGTTCAATATAAGAAGGTGTGCCTGTTGATTAATAGCCTCAGTCTGAGAGAAGCCTCTCTGTGTGAGAGAACGCCTCAGTGTGAGGCAGGCCCCTTGTGTGTGAAGGTTGAACTTTATCTATGTTGAGGAAACCTGGTTCTTGTAAATAGTGCAACCATATTATTTTGCTATAAAGAGACGCCTCCTATGGAAGAGATAACATTGGTGTATGTTTTTTTGTTCTTTTGATCACTTTTGGCTACTGGTGTTGGGTCACGCTGCTGCTAATAAGTTACTCTGTTGCACATTTATGAGGAGGGTCCTCTTTTAATAAGCCCACTCGCCCAACAAGGGCTGCCCCAGTAGCATCTATTTCCAGGGCTGGCACACAAAGATAGGGTGGTTTTTATTGAAAAAAAATCCCTTGATTCTGCATATTGACATGAATTCAGTAACAGCCTTACTGTTTTGGCTTTCATCTTCCTCGTCTTCCTCTTCCTCCTTATACAGAATTGGTCCCTCGGAGTCCGAATCACTTGGCCCCTCCTCTTCATCCTGCACAGTCTGGAGTATGAGCCTGGGAATTACTGTAACGGTCGGGGTATCTCCAATGTAAACGCTGGTACTGGAAGAATTGGAATGATGAACGCCTTCTTCTTGGTCCTCTTCCTCATCATCTGGACTAACAACAAGGAATATAATTATAAGTAACAACAAGGAATGCAATTATTGTTTCAGTTTTTTCAAACTTCAGGTCAATTGACCTTTATTGAGAGAAGGGGTGGCTACCCACACCACAGCTTGACGTGGTGTGGGTAGCCACAATAGCTGGGGCATAGAGCTCTGGAGGAGGTGAAAATTAAGCAGTGTGGTCCTTTGGGCTCTAGAACATGCTCTGCCCTGAAGTAGACATTGGGAAGGGATTGGTACATTTGAGAAGTACCTGGCTGAAGGAAGGTCTGCCAGATAGCATGCCTAAAGGCCAGAACATGCACTAAGAAAGATCTTGAGAAAGATCAAGACTTAAAATATTTTTTAAATTGAGATTAAAATAGTTGTCTTGATAGCATTGTTCTGTTTTCGTTCTCTGCTATGAAGACAGCCCCTAAGGCTGTGTTTGCGGTTCCTATCTAGCCCCAAGTCTACCTTCTTTGCTTCCATATGAGTTTCTTCCAAGCTGACAGAAATGTATAGGCAGTGTAGAACTGATCCTAGCTTGGAGGGACAGACTTTTAAATCCTTGACAAAAGCAAGGTTAATGGAAAGCACATGTTTCTTTTGTGAGCCCCACCTCAAGTCCCTTCGGGTTGATGGTGGCAGAGTATCAGTAAAGTTTATTATTATTTATTCCCTATATACTAAGTTAACAGGGCTGATTTTTCACGAGAGGTCTAACATCTCTCTGAAATAAATACACTCCTAATGCTAATGATGTTCTTCCTACACAACTTTGTTTTGCAGCGGAGGAGGGACAGTCTGCTTTTAAACATGTTGGGAATGAAGCGCCATAAATTGGGCATTTCTATCTATCTATCTATCTATCTATCTATCTATCTATCTAATCTATCTAATCTATCTAATCTATCTATCTAATTTATCTATCTAATCAATCAATCAATCTATCTAATCAATCAATCTATCTAATCAATCTATCTATCTAATCAATTTATCTAATCTATCTATCTGTCTATCTATCTGATCTATCTATCTATCTATCTATCTATCTATCTATCTATCTATCTATCTAATCTATCTATCTTATCTATCTATCTATCTATCTATCTATTTATTGCATTTATATACCATTTTTCTCACCCCCGAGAGAACTCAAAGCAGTTTCCAACATAATAGTGTCAAAATTCAATGCCGTACATAAATGTGAAAGCCAAAAAATAATTTCTAGACAATAACATACACTATAAATTAAGAACATTGACCATATTACACATATCAGCATAAAACAATATATACTGTATTTTCTGGCATATAAGACGACTGAGCGTATAAGACGACCCCCAACTTTTCCAGTTAAAATATAGAGTTTGGGATATACTACCCCTCTTCCAACGCACACCAAATAAAATTTTTAAAAGAATCAGATTTTATTTCAATATGGTAATTTTCCTATTACTGTATCTCCTTCTCTGCCTCTCAGATCTCACACATGCGCACCTGCACCACTTCACTGCAGTCTTCAGGAGCAAGATCTGAGAGGCAGAGGAGGAGGTATGGTAATAGGATACAAGGGCGGGCCAGACAGGTAAAAGAGGTGTGTTTTTCTGGGCCCAGGGCCACTCTATCTCTTCTTTCCATACCCCGGGCGCCCCAGACGCCTGCAGCTTGCTCAGCCCTTCACTTACACCTTCCCAGTGAGGTGCCCCTTCACCTCACTATCGGGACCGCATTAAGTCCACAAATCCTGATGAATGGATTTTCTTCTACCGTACTTGTACAGCATTGCCCTTAATGCTTTCATACAGTCGCTGCATACGGCAGGGACACCGCCACTGCCATTTTTGAGCTCCCCCCACCATATGCGGCAATCACAGATTCTCCAATCCGGATTGGAAGTTTTAGCACCTCATACACCTTATACACCTCCTAGTGCATAAGATGACCCCTGACTTTTGAGAAGATTTTCTTGGGTTTAAAAGTAGTCTTATACGCCAGGAAATACGGTACATTAAAATAGCAGAATTAAAACATATAAATTTTAAAAGTTATTTAAAATCACACAATCCAAGAACATAAGTCAGGAGCCATTCCAGTTGTCATCTGTAATTATTCATTATTTCACTGAGATATCAATAGTTACACCATCACTATGCAAACGCTTGGTCCCACAACCAGGATTTAACTGTCTTCCTGAAGGACAGGAGGGAGAGGGATGATCTAATTTCCTAAGGAGGGAGTTCCACAGCTGAGGGGCCACCACCGAGAAGGACCTGTCTCTTGTGCCCACCAGTCACCCTTGTGAAGGAGGTGGGACCGAGAAGATCTCGGAGATCTTAACCTCCGAGGTGGTTCATAGACAGGTAAGCTGGGCCAGAACCATTTAGGCCTTTATAGGCTAAAGCCAGCACTTTGAAATGTGTTTGGTAGAAGACTGGCAGCCAGTGGAGCTAACGTAATGGGGGATTGTGCGCTCCCTGTACACTACTCCTTTGAGGAGTCTAGCTGCGGCCCATTGAACCACTTGAAGCTTCCAAACAGTCTTCAAAGGCAGCCCCACGTAGAGTGTGTTGCAGTAGTCTATTTGAGTGTGGACCACCATGGTCAAATCTGACTTCCCAATGTACGGGTGCAACTGGCACACACGTTTTAATCATGTGAAAGCCCCCTTGGGGGTTCCAGGCTGAACGATGAGTCTAGGATGATTCCCAAGCTACAGACCTGTGACTTCAGGGGGAGTGTAACCGAACGCATCTCCCCCTATGAACCATTGTGGAGATTAAGATCCTCTGGGGAGGCCCTGCTTTCCATCCCGCCATTGTCACAGGCACGACTGGTGGAGATGAGAGACAGGGCCTTCTCGGTGATTGCTCCCCGGCTATGGAACTCCCTTCCTGGTGAGATCAGGTCGGGCCCCTCCCTCCTGTCCTTTAGAAGGATGGTAAAAACTTGGCTGTGGGCTTTCGGGACAGGGCAATAAAGCAGCAATAGGAGAGATGACCAGGCCAATTAGATTTGATGCAGATGACTAGGACGGTTTTAAATGGTGTATTTTAATATTTTGATAAATGTTTTTTAATGTTTATGTATTGCATGTGAATTTGTGCTCCGCCCTGACTCCCCTTTGGGGTGAGAAGGGTAGAATATAAATGTTTTAAATAAATAAATAACCCCATCCAACACAGGCTGTAGCCCTATACCCTGTTCGGCCTTGCGATTTAGGTTCCAGGACCCAAACATGACACTTGAGAAATAAGGGAGGGGGATTCTGGGAGTCACAGCCCTGCAAAAGTCTCTGAATGAAAAGAAAAAGGGGTCTGAACTGTTTTGCAACTCACACTTTCAGCATTTCTATGGTCACTGGCAACGATCTTGTCCTGGCCAGGCTACTGTTGTCGTCACTGTAGCTGTCATTCTCAAAGAGCAGTGAGTGAGCCCTGTACGAGCCATCGGCAGGCGGGGTGGCTGGCAGCGGGCTGGTCAGCGCCTGCTGGATGCGAATGTGCAGCGGAAGTTGGGGCAGCCGGGGAATCATGTGAGGCTCCCTGAATCCTTGCTCAGGCAATCTCTTGGCCATATCTGCCACTGGCAGCCCATCCTGTTGGGCCTCCACCCACAGTTCTGTGGAAACAGGAAGCTCTGCCTCATGGATGGAGGTAGGAGGTGGTGGTACATATGGGGGCTCTGAGGCAATATGTGGGGGCAAAGGGGATGAAAGGGAGGAGGGTGAGTGAGGCGGAAACATGTACGGTGGTAGTGAGGAAGGGTAAGGTGGCATGATCTTCTCATTCGATGACTTGGGAGTGGCAGCTGATTCGGCCACTGAAGATGTATTCAATGGGACGCCTCTCTTGGGGGGCAAAGGCGGAGAGGGCTTTGACAGTGCTGTGCCACTGGAAATAGCTTGAGATAATTCAGCTGGAAAAGAAGAGAGAGCATAAGTGAGTAAGGAAGGAAAACTTTATTTCTATCCTGCCCTATCTCCCCATGGGGACTCAGGGCAGATCACAGCATAACAGGTAAACATTCAATGCAGTAAAATACAACAATAGACTAAAACAATTCAAAATGAACAAAACAGAGCATTCGACAATAAACCAGATTGCATGAACACCATAATAATAAATGTCATGATGTTAATAAAACCAAGTTAAAAGCTCAAATCACAGGAAGAATTGAGCTTACTACAGAGTGCTATCTCGTGGTTCCAACAAACACAAATAAGGGAATACTATGACGAAGACAAGAGGAAAGGATTTGTTGAAAAGGAAACCTACTGGGACAAAGTAATGATGACAAAAAGTAATTTAATTGCAAAGATCTAGAAGATATTGCTGGAATGGGCAACAGAAATGGAATGTGTCAAGGACTGTATGATGAAGTGGCCAGCGAATATGGGTCATACAACTGGAATGGAGGAATGGGAAAAGATTTGGAACGTAAAATTGAAATATACATATGCATATTTATTTATTTATTTATTTATTTATTTACAGTATTTATATTCCGCCCTTCTCACCCGTCAGGGGACTCAGGGCAGATTACAATGTACATATACATGGCAAACATTCAATGCCATAGATACACAACATATATAGACAGACACACAGAGGCTATTTAACATTCCAGCTTTTTCATGAGGGTATTCTGGCCACCAGGGGAGCTGTCGCTTCACCGTCCATTTGTGACACTGATGAAGTACTTCCTCATTCTTTGCATGCTTGCTGGAGATTTTTTATGGCTTCCTAAATTAGCTTCCCCGCATAAGCGGTACCTAAATTTCCTACTTGACAGATGCAACTGTCTTTCAGGCTGCAAAGATCGACAGCAAGCTACACAAATTGGTCAGAAGCTCACTCTGACCCGAGCTGGCTTCAAACATTAGAGTTTGCTTGCTAGTTTGCTTGGTACATCACCCCAAGCAAACTAGCAAAATTAATTAAAAAATGAATGTGGATCAAACTGATCACAGAGGTCGACATGGGCAGGAGCAGCCAGAAGGCGTGGAGGCTGCTAAGACAGTTGAGCAATGACACCCCCCCCCCCCCCCCCCCCCCACAAACTAATACCCATGCCAACATAAAGGCAGATCAGATAGCACACCAACTCTTGAAGAATGGGAAACCCAACTTTGCCACCAAAGTAGGAAAGAAACCAATAGCCAGACAACTAGAGATTGAGAACAACAACTTTCATGAACACTTTACATCTACTGAATTGGGCATGGCTCTCAATAAATGTAAAAATGGCAAAGCAGCTGGCTTGGATGATCTACGGATGGAACAAATCAAGAACTCTGACCCAAAAGCAAGGCGCTGGCTGCTGGAACTAATGAACAACTGCACTGCATCCTGTCAGATCCCCAAAATCTGGAGGAAAGCAAGAGTCATCGCCATCTTGAAGCCAGGCAAAGACTATAACGATCCAAAAAGCTATAGACCAATCTCCCTGTTGTGCCACCTCTACAAAGTTATTTATTTATTTATTTATTTATTTGCTTTATTTCTATACCGCATTTTTCAGCCCAACCAGGCGACTCAATGCGGTTTGGAGAGTTCTGGAGAGACTTAAGTTCTGGAGAGACTTATTTTGCATACAATTATGGAAAAAACAGACCCATGTCTGATTCCACAGCAAGCTGGCTTCAGGAAAGGCAAAAGCTACACATCGCAAGTGCTGAACCTGACTCAGCACATAGAAGATGGCTTTGAAAGGCAGCAGATCACAGGAGCTGTCTTCATAGACCTCTCAGCGGCTGTAAACCACCGCCTCCTCCTGAGAAAAATGTATAATATCACAAAGGACTACCACCTCACCTGCCTCATAGGAAACCTGCTACAAAACAGGAGCTTTTTTGTTGAGTTCCAGGTCCAGAGAAGCAGATGGCGGAAACAGAAGAACAGCCTGCCTCAGGGGAGCGTGCTTGCTCCATCCATGTCCAACATCTACACAAATGACCAGCCACTGCCAGAAGGGACAGAGAGTTTCATCTATGCTGATGATCGTGCCACCACCACTCAAGCAGGGAGCTTTGAGATGGTTGAACAGAAGCTCTCTGAAGCTCTAGGTGCTCTTACTGCCTATTACAGGGAAAACCAGCTGATCCCCAATCCATCTAAAACACAGACATGTGCTTTTCACCTTAAGAACAGACAAGCATACCGAGCTCCGAGAATTATCTGGGAAGGAATCCCACTGGAGCATTGCAGCGCACCCAAATACCTGAGAATCAGTCTGGACCGTGCTCTGACCTACAAGAACAACTGCCTGAATATCAAGCAAAAGGTGGGTGCTAGAAAGGTTGTTCCAATGCAACCTGAGTCCTGCTACATGCACAATGGTGGACCTTCTTGCAGCAACACCAGAGGCACTCCAAGTGGCCAGATACTGGTCAAAGGACATTTAATCAACTACCAAGCTTGCAAACTTTGTGTTTTGTGTGTGTGTGTTTGTTTGTTTGTTTGGTTAAAAATGTAATACAAATGTCTGGTTTTGCCTGACACGATAAATAAATAAATATGTCACAGAAAAAGGTTTAGGAAGTTACACAAGCCCAATGATAAGAAGAAGCCAAATTCTAACAAAAGGTTCTTTTAAAAATCCTTAGATTTGTTATTTCTACCCAGTGCTCTCCAACGAATTTGGATTTATAGGCCCCAAAATCCTCAGCCTGCATGCCTAATGGAGGGAATCAATTTGCAGAAAGCTGCCTTATTCATCCAATGGAAAGCAAAATTTGCCAGGTGTTTACAGGCGATAAGTGGAAATGAGCTTAACAGTCAGGAGAAGCCAAAGGATAAAAAGGAGAGTGCTCTCAAAATGCTACTCAACAATGGTTTAGTTTTACTGCATGTTCTTAATAGCTTTATCTATTGTTTTGGGGTTTGATATATTATGTGTAGCAGTTGCCAAAACATATCAATGGCATTGCCTTTCTGTGGTGGTGGGATCGCATGCTTCTGTGAGGCAAAAAGCTATTATGACAGCCATAGAGCTGCTGGGAGGTTCTACAGATTGCTCACAAACAAGCAAAACAAGATGGAATCGCTTCCTATAACTCCTAAAAGCAGAGTTTGGGCCACAAAATCTTAAATTAACTGTTCAGCCTAAAGAGCAACAGGACACTCAGGGTAAATTCTTTCTTTCTTTCTCTGCTACTTATCCTGTGAAGGTGCATGTAAATGCACACATGCACACAAACACGAACACACTTGAATCCGTCTCCAAAAGATTTTAAGAAATCTACTCTGGATCAACAAAACAAGATTTGTTTATTTATTTAAAACATTTATATTCTGCCCTTCTCACCCCGAAAGGGACTTAGGGCAGAATACAGCATATATACGGCAAATATTCAATGCCGGGACACAAATTCATATATGCATACATAAACATTAAAAACATTTATCTCAATATTAAAACACACCATTTAAAACCGTCCTAGTCATCAGCATCAAATCTAATTGGCCTAGTAATCCTTCCTATTGCTGCTTTATTGCCCTGTCCCGAAAGCCTGGTCCCACAGCCAAGTTTTTACCATCCTTCTAAGGTACAGGAGGGAGGGGACCGACCTGATTTCACCAGGAAGGGAATTCCATAGCCAGGGGGCAATCACCGAGGAGGCCCTGTCTCTCTTCTCTACCAATCGCACCTGTGACAATGGCAGGACAGAAAGCAAGGCTCCCCAGAGGATCTGAATCTCTGCGATGGTTCATAGGAGGAGATGCGTTCGGACAGGTAAATTGGGCCAGGGCCATTTAGGGCTTTATAGGCCAAAGCCAGCACTCTGAATTGTGCCCAGTAGGAAACAGGCAGCCAGTGGAGCTGGCGTAACATGGGAGTTGTATGCTCCCTGTACGCCACCCCAGTTATTAACCTGGCTGCCTCTCGTTGGACTATTTGAAGCTTCCGAACAGTCTTCAAAGGCAGCCCCACGTAGAGTGCATTGCAGTAGTCTATCCTAGATGTAACGAGAGCGTGGCTCATCGTGGCCAAGTCTGACTTCCCAAGGTACGGGCGCAGCTGCGAACCTGTGCGTTCAAGGGGAAGTGCAACCCCATCCAGCACAGGTTTTGACCCTATACCCTGTTCGGCCTTGCGACTGACCAGGAGGACCTCTGTCTTGTCTGGATTCAACTTCGATTTGCTCGCCCTCATCCAAACTGTCACAGTGGCTAGGCACTGGTTCAGGACTAGCTGCAAGATGCCAGGAAAGCTTTGAATGGTCTCAAACACAGCATGTTTTGCTGAAAGCTTTAGGGCGCTCTTGAACCATTAATGCTCATCCTAACCCACTCTCCACATCTTTCATGTTCTAGAATCAGACTTCATTGGAGAGCCTTTCTGTAGTGGTTCCACCCTTGGAGGATGCCTCCTCCAGGAAGTCTCTCTGTGTGTGTTTTTACAGAAAACTCCCTAGCTTGGAAAATAATTCTTAAGACCATTTCTTTCTGTCAATATTTCATTCGTGTTGATGAAGACTAACTGTTCAGTTTGACAGTTTTAGTCATATGTATACATTTTATAAAGAAATAAAACAGATACACAGTTCACCTGACTGATCAATCGATTGTTGCTATTGCACTACCAATCCCACTCATCACCCAGCGTTTGTAGAAGTGATCTTTTGGACTAGTTTACCCACCATGGTTTTTGGTCCAAAAGTCTATTTTCCAAACTCTGCCTGCACTCCCAACCAAATCATATATATACAGGCAGTCCCTGAGTTACAAATATCCAACTTACAAATGATTCATAGTTAAGAATGGGGCTGAGACTAGAGGAAGTGGAAGGAAATCTACCCTTCGGAAAGGAAATTCACTCCTGAAAGAGTTATGATCATGGGGAAAAGGTGTCTCCAAAGATGCTTTATCCTCAGTCCTTGTTTACACAACAAGCAATTTTTATCAAAATCCAGT